ATAATCACCTCTCAGTTTACAATATATTAGAAATGATTACTACTTGGTTCCTGTATATTAACATAATTTAACATTACTTAATTCGGGTATATTTGTAAATAGAAAAGACAAGATATAAAAAAGATCATCATTCACAGTCTGAAGTTCATACATCCTACTCCAATGGCTCGGGAATGCCATCATCGACTGATTAATGCGGAGTTTTAATAGTTCAACAGATCGTCCAGCTTATTTCGTTGACCTTCGAAGAAATCCACAAAACCCAAATCGTGCTGGGCAGGATAAATAAGAAAACCATCTGGTATCTGCATCACCTCGAGAATATCTATTTACAATTCTAGGAAAATTATAATGGAGAAACGACGATGCTATAAATTTTTGTGATGAGCTCTAGCGCCTTTTTCAATCCAAATTCTCATATACTCAAAGCCGGAATTCCTTAGCCGCAGCACGCTGGTTCATGTCGCTCGCGAGAACAAGACCCGCAAGAGGTCAAGCCCCCACTCCCATTTACTCTTCCTTTTTCTTTTAGCTCAAAAATCAGAGTCCGAATAACTTCGTACATTGTGCAAGCTCTAAGGTAAACTCGGTCTCTCCGTCCCCGAAAATTTCATAGGCTTACAAAAAAAAATCACAAAATTAAATCTCACCAATCCCAGAATTTTACTTTATCTTTAACTGAAAAAAATACACCCCGCAACGAATCAAAAACAAGGCAATACAGACAATGCAGTCCTGACCATCTGTACTCTGAAGTGGGAAGTAAGGTGGGCCCCGCAGCTAACAAGCAGAAACTAAGCGATAAGAATCCAATTACGTAAGCTTACTGAAAGAAAACATTGCAATTATAACAAAGCGAAAGCAAGCGAACATGAGAAAGCCGATTTTTGACCTTTGACCCAATTTAGTAAAAGCCCCAACGAAGAAAAGCGACAACACAACAACCTAACTGCTTCCACTGTTAGTAAAAGGCCATAAACCAGGTGTCTCCTCGCAACGTTTCCTGTCTTTGTTACACTTTCTGCAGTTTCAAGAACAACCAGTTAAATAAGGCTTTAACAATTTAAGAATACTCTTTTTACCAGATTAAAATATACATGAGTACAAATAAAAAAATACTTGAAAAACTTATACTTAAAGCAGATATTAATATAATTAAAATTCGCCACACAACATGTGTCATGCTTACAGATTATATTCTTCATTGCTAAGCATCTATAATGAAGTACCTTTCGCGCTCAAAAAATCTGTAAAATGTTAATACTATAATTTCACATAACTTTTAACATGGAAAATTTTTAGTCATTACTTTAAATCATCGCTTACGTAATAAATTCAAAGTCGAAATTCTAGAAGTGAAATAAAATGCTCTATTATCAGCTGTGATAATGAGTTAAAAGCTTGTTCATGTAGTTCATGCGTTCTCATGTAGATTTACAAGTTGTGCCGGGGGAGGCGGCTCCCCGCGCAGTCCTCATTGTGATGTATTGTGGCTATGAACATGAGAAGTCCTTGCGGAATGTTTGGTGGATTGGCGACCCGCCGGCACAGCCGCCGAGGTTGGATCATAGAATATCGTTTAATCATTAATGGCAGCACAAGATGCAGCTTGGCAATGAATGGTCCTTTCCTTGGATCCCTCTGTGCGTACGTACTTACATATGTATGTATCTCGCATAACTCGAAAACGATTAGCCCCATAATGCTGAAATTGTGAATATGGGACTACAGTAACATCCATCTGTGTACCCTTTAATACTGCAATCGGAAGTACCAAAGTTATATATGTTATCGCTATAGTGCGATGTCATTGCTGTTCATTTTACCTAGCTAATCTGCAGGTTAATTGATTTGTTCCGATAAAGAGCGGAATTCAGATTTCCTCGCAATTTTCCTAGGCAATGCGCACATTAACGGCTTCCGTATCGTTAAAGTTGCCAAAAGTATGTTTCTCCCGTTTCCTTTCCCTCTTCTTTTATTTTGCGCATTAGCTACTAGGTACTCGCTCATGGGCACATTACCTACTAGCCGCTCGTTAAACTGAACATAAGATCTTTGGTGGAACAGTAGCAAAGATTCTGCATGCTTAAATTAACATAATATTTCTGAATTATTCTCCAAGATCTAAAAAATCACGTCAATACAATCAAACAAGCAACAAATTATTTCATAGAATCAATCATCAATAAATTAGAAAACTGAAATACAAAGTATAAAAAAAATCTTAAAGCTTTCAGATGTTATATTACGCCCAAACGTTTTGTGTGATTACGCCCAAAAGATCGTTTTGTTGATGTTTTGTCTGTTTCATGTCTGTTTTGTTCTGAAAAAGCATATTTTTAGAATTTCCGATGCACAGTCTCGCGCGCTGGAGATAAAAATGCTCTTTTTCGTGCAGTGTTGCCATCTCTCGCTTTGAAATTGTTGAGTTTCTTAATCAAAAACTCATTAATGCTTTACAAAATTGGAAATAGATGGTAAAACAAATTCCAAATTAGGGCTTCCAGATGCCCATTCAAAATTTGATGGCTCTAGGTACCGTTGTTTTATCACATTGCGAGAAACATACATACATTTATGCAGATTCTTCATTATTTAATTTCTTTAAATATTATACAGGGCTGTAATATTTGGTGGCAACAGTATGAAAAGTGAATCAACACAGAAAGTTAATCGACGCAAAATGCCAAAACAAAATTAATAGCCCTTCTGAGGTAAAAACGCTTTAAAATATTTTTACAATTAAGGAAATGAATTTACAAAACGTATGATAAAATTATGCTCACATATTCATCCAGTCTGAAGATTGGTGACAGTTTGAATTATGTAGCAGTTGGGTTTTGGGACAAACACACCTATCTCAGGTACACTTAGATTTGTAGTAAAATTTTCTGAAACCGGTCAGAAGTTTAAAGGTGTAAGTGGCGGCTGTTTTAAGTGTACAGAAACGTTGCTGTTATTCCAGCAAAGATTTCACTTTAACGAATGCCTAGTATGTAATTTGTATATTACCTGATTAATTTGTGAAATGAAACAATTTTTCGGGCTTTAATGGATCACTCTAATTAATCTTCAGAATAGCGGATTTCGCACTTTAGCGGTAACAGATAAACACCCAGTTTCTTACTCGCCTTAAAAAACGAAAATATTCATGTTTTAGTAATGTCAAATGTTTAAAAGAATTAATTTTCGAGAAATGTCAAAAATCTAACTTTTAATGCGATTTTAAAGGTGCATATATTTATATTTTGGAAAGTTTTATACTCCTCATGAAAAAATAAAATTGTACGAATTTTAACTCCTGTAAGAGAAAAGTTGATCGAAATATTTAATTTCAAAATTTGCAATTTTTGTTTCTTCAAAAATCGCTTAATTAAGCTAGAATAATTCGAGGAAATAAGTTTAAATGAAATACTGCAAAAAATGGGTATAATTTAATAGACCGTAAACGAAATCATGTCGTGTCCATATCAAATTCATTTAGTATATGCTTTCCTTCTTACCTCTATGGACTTTCCGTTTCCTATGAAACTAGTTTTATCTTCCTTTTTGTCCCGCACGAGAAATGGCTATATAGTCTAGTTAGTATACTTCTAAAAATTAATACAAAAATTACTGAAGTTTTGAAAGTCATACTTCAAAATGTATTGTAAAAATTAAGTAAATAAAAGCTATGAAAACCTTACGGCTGAAAAACATAGCGACCCAACCGGGATAATGACTACCGTACCGAAGTTCCTGGGTTTGAATTCCGGAGAAGACATGGATATTTCTAAATGTATAGTGTCTGTGTTGGCATTGGAACTCTCAAAATATCTGGCGAGCAGAACATCCTGGAGACCGTCGGACTCATCCCTCATGGAGAGAAAATGATCTTAAAGTTGAACATCTGGAGAGTTGAACGATTTTATAATTGACAGAAAGATGGAATAAAAAAATGGCAATTTTATTTTGGTTACTTTTATTATTTATTGTGGTACTAGCTTTTGTTTAATTAATTTTTAAAATATGTTTTTAAGCATGACTTTCAAAACATCAGTTATTTTTGCATTAATTTTAAAAGTATTCTAATAATATATATATGTAAGATATAACAAAATATGATAGCTGTTTCAAACAAATAGTTGGCGATCTCAAAATTAATATTCTAAATTTGATCATCTGCCTCTAAATTCATCTTTTCTCACAGGTTTCAGATTTTCCTATCTTACGTAAAGTTTTAATGTAGATACCTTTTGTCCAATCAAATTAATTGTAAACCAAAACTTTCCCGCTCAAAAATGTGACGAAATGTGAGAGAAAACTATTTTCGTGCGAAATGAAGAAGTAGCGAGCGAGGAAAAGTAGAAGTAGTAAAAGTAGAAAACTAGAAGTTTCTACAGAAGTAGCGAGGAAGACATAAAAGCAAAGTAGCAAAGAAAATCGTTTTGAAAGGAAGGTAAAAATTTTTAAAAGGTTTCATCAATCTCTTTGGGAGAAAAATCTGTTCGCAGCAACCAATTTCCGATAATTGAAATCATGAATGAAAAACAAAATTCTGAAGAACAAACATGAGAACGGATAATAAACGGATAATACGGACATAAAGAGTAAGTCATAATCCTGTTAAACAAACAAAATACCTTATCCATCAAGAAATCGAGTGTGCCATGAATAATGCAAGATCATGACGCTTCAATAATTTGCCATAATTAACCACACCTATTTAGCCTTTTTTATAAAGCCGTCTAGTATGCATTTTTATTGCGCTAATCAGTTAAGTAAACGTTAATCACAGTGAATTAAAAGTTACAGTGAGTTTATCTAAACGACATTTTTCACTCGTTCCTGATATTTCTATGCCCAAGCCAACAGAAAGTTATCTGTGGACCGAAGTTTTAATATTTTTTATTGAAAATTGCTAGTGCATGTCAGTTTGCAAAACAGTTTAACGAATATCTAAAAGTTAATCAGTTAATTATTTGCTTTCATTTTGAACCATATTACTGTGTATTACTTAGGGGCTTCATTTTAACATCTCCAAAAGTTTTCGATGCTGCAAGAATGGGATATTTCACACTTTCAGTATTTGATGTACCGCCTGGTGAAGAAATCACAATTCGTTTGATGGCAAAGTATGGCGTCTTAGTTGAAAAGAAAGTGAATATTATTCCTAGTAAGTATAAAGTATCAATTAAGATGGCGTTTCATAAATATGCTTTTTTATATTAAATATTAGTTTGGACTTCCTTTAGATCAATGAATATACTAATATTAGGAGGTTGAAATTCACTGAATGACTGTGAAAGTATAGTATAAAATCAGACTGAATTGGATAATTAGAAATAGTGGTATTTGAAAGACACGTAAGACGAAACAGAGACATTCTTTTCATTTTGCTTTGTCCCTATAGTAATAATTAAACTGACCCTATTCAGACCCCTGTAGAACCGATTCTGCCTAGAAGGATATTGATGAAGCTTGCTATATACCAGCGGGTATCAAACTTTTGACTAACGCGTACCATCTAAACAAAAATTGAAAACCTTTAGTACCACCACTACAAAGTACTACTACCACCACCACTCTTGAGCAAAGCTCAAATCAAATAAATTTACGAGTGTTAAAGAAAAACCTCAATCATTATGTTGGGGTTTTAATTTTTGAATTTAACAGTTAAAAATACTTTGCTTCTTTTGCGTACCACTTATTTTTCTCTTGCGTACCACCGGTTGAGAACCCCTGCTATAAACGTTACATGAACTATGGAGAAAAGATTTCTGCAATAAATAATACTTCAAATTTTGACCAACAGATGGCAATTTTCAGAATGTCCTTATGCAAATTAGTCAAACCTATAAAGAGACTTCCAGCCAGAGGCACGAAAGGATTCTGAGTGCCTTTGTCATCGTTAATCATTCCCTTACAGAAGAAAGATCGAGCTTTACTGGTAAAACTGTTCTATCAGAACGGCAGCAATAGTTTAGCTGCATTGCGTGAATATCTTCGTTTAAAGGGATTGCGAAAAGGGCCCATGTTGAAGAACGGTTTGAACATGATTATGAAATTTGAAGAGACTAGAGACTTGGGTGTGCTGCCCGGAAGAGGGCGAAAACAGGTTGCGAATGAAACTGTCGAAGAAGTCGCTACTGCTATGGTTGGAAGAGACAGAGACACCAATTCCCATCAAGAGGTCATCACACATACCTACAGTCCCTGCCAAACGGGACTTTTCTGAGAAACGAGATTCTGGTAGCACTGGTTTAAACCAGAAGATTCCTAGAAAAAAGAGCCCCGCCTAGCTACGGAAGCAATGTTGCGGCTACGCAGGAGTTTTTCAAACCTCACCGAAAATGTCTCGGGTCCCGAGTAGAGACAACCAATCAGACGAAAGTTCTGCTTCTGAACGATGACGTGATCCCGATTTGAGCGATAATCGATTACTGTTTGGCGTTCAAGTATTTGTAGTTAGTGAGAATGGTAACCTATCTACGTGTGTTTCCTGGAATTGTGCGGGGTCTGAGAATTGTTCCTTTCGACGTCAAGTCCCTCGTAGCCGAAACATAATGTGATTGGGACCTTAATGTTCAGTAAGTGCTCAATCGGTGTCACATGAGTTGGCAATTCGTTGATCAGCAGTACGAAAAATTCTGTGATCCATTTTAAAATGGTATCCGTATAAGATCCACTTGGCCAAATGCTACATCCTCAAGACCACTAAACACGCTCTGAATTTGCTTGCCAATTTTTTTGTGAGAATGGATGATGGCGCTTGGCCTTGGAAAATTCTACGGTTAGAAATTGCCGCGTACGGTGTGCTTCAGCTCCTAATGTCCTTCACCAACAACCATTGCATTCTGATTATGTGACTGTATGGTGTATATTTACTACTGCTTTTATCCTCGGACCGTTTTTGTCTGAAACTCTCACTCTTCAAGGTCCTAAAACGTGCCCTGTCACAAGTGCACGGTAAAGTGAACTCCTTCGACAGCAATTGCAGACCGCTGTGTTCATGCAAGATGGAGCAACTCCTCACATTGGGTACCTAGGCAAGGAACTGCTCCACGATAACTTTGGCGAGAATCGTGTAATATCCAGAGCTTTCCCGTAAGCCTGGCCTCCTTTTTCACCCGACTTAGATCGCTGTGATTGTGAGGATTCCTAAAAGACCATGTTTATGGGAGAGGAATTAGAATTTTAACAAAGTTGAAAGTCAGCATTACACGCCATCTTGCTGAAATCTCTCGAGAATTACGTCACACTACCATTGAACACGTTATAAAGCGCTTTCAACACGTGATTAATGTCAATGGAGCACATTCGCTAATTAAATAAATTTTAATGAATCTGTCAGATTTCTTTTGTCCTTCTTTAGGCGCCCCAATTCCCCCTGGTGGTCAAAATTTGAATGATATTTTATTACAGAAATCATTTCCGCATGGTCCATATAACATACATACCACATTTTATCGAAATTCAATAAGTAGAACGGGTTCTAGAGTGGTCTGAATAGGGTCACTTTAATTGGTCCTATAGTCATTTGTGATATCTAAAGATTAATTGTAAACTAAAACTAAATATTAAATAAAATGTAGAATAGACAAATAATATGAGAATTTTATATATTTTTAGCGATATTACGTAAGATATGTATGGAAATGATGTTTTTAAATTACAAACACGTGGTTAACGTTCATCTATTTTAGATGTCAAAGAAACTGTGGCTATTTGAATTTGCTGCTAAAATTTCTATGTTAAGTTCCGCTGTCAAGATTTTAACGTAATCTAAATCTACGCCCAATATAAAGAAAACTCATGGAAAATTCGCTTTTCATCAAAGATGTCTTCAACCAAGAACTATCACCAAAAATTCTGCCTGGTTACAAGTTTCGAATCATTTCATTCTTAACATCAGATTTTATAGTGATCTGAAAAGATATGGCTTTGTTAAATATACTCTCAGGACATTTAGACTTTTCTGACAGCTAAATTTGAAATTTTATTTTGTGAAATGCTATACTTGTAAATGCAAAATAGACATTGTTTAACATTTTCTAACCATTAAAGTAAAATAAATATGGGAAAGATTTAATAGGATTGCGCGTATCTATAATATTACGTGGTAGGTACAGTACGTCATCAGTCATCAGGGTCAAGACATTACAAGGATCAGGGAGTGAGGAGGAAGAGTAAATGATGAGGAAGAGGCGGAGTGTGGAGGAAAGTGCTCAAGGAGGAGCCAATAAATGCTCGCCAACCCCATACTTAGGTTGTAGTGGAGCGAGTTCTAAGGAGGCAAATGAAAACGCCAGTATGAACTGTCCTTTTCTATATTTAGGTAGTGCCTTTTGTGTGGAGAATAAGGTTTTTTTTTTTAATTATTTACGTTTCTAAATTGTAAGTGCTTTTGTTATTTGCTTCTTTAAATTATGCGTCCTAAATGTATTATTTGATTTATCTAATTGATATCTGGGGAACCGGGCATAGAATGAATATTTCAAGTTTTCATTTTACCATTTGATCCCCTAAAAAGATTTAAACCTCCAGCACCATTCAAAGAGCTGTAAATCGCTTTCATTTAATTCTTTGTATTTTGTGTATGCAAGTGGTTTATGATAACTTAAAAGGTAAAATGTTTTGACTTTTGTACAAAATATTTTAAATTAAAATGATTTGCCTTTTCTTTTGCATGCCTTTTGTCTTCTTTCATTTCAATTTTATGTTTTTTATCGAGAATTAACGTTAGCTTTCCGTAGGTGAACAAATACATGTTATCGAACTTATGACGTGGATAAGCTACTCAGTGTTTGAGCACATGGAATTAGCAATGAAATTTTTGGATTAAAAGCGGCCTACATTAAACGAGAGTAAACTCCATAAAGATAACTTACTAATTTGTAAGGGCAAATAGAAAGAAAGAGAGACGTAGGCTGAGCAATATGAAGGGCTTAATGTAATAATGCTACTTTTCTGTTATCGGGACTGGATTAAGAAATTATATGCATGTATGTACGATGATATGTATGTATGTACTTATATGAGTATGTGTATACACGCATATACATATGTAAATACATGTATACATGCATACATTAACGCATACATTCATACATACATACATTTCTGAATCCGATCCCGATAACTGAGGCGTACGTAAAATGTACAAGACCTTCAGTATTCATTGATGAAACTTCTTTTATACAGAAATGTACTTTATATTAACATTTTTATATTTTTATAATTTTTTATAATTTGTAATTCTTAATAGTGACTACAGAAATAGAGCACTAATGAAATTAGCTAGATATGTGGTAATTTGGGTATCAGTTCTCAACTTATGTAATTAATTGGAATAGCAATACATCTGAGTGTCAAGTGTTCTAAAACGATTATTATTTTTCAAAGTATATTACGATTAAAACTTTCTAATCCGAATCCGCAAAGTGTTGTTTTGTTTCGGATGCTACACAACTAATGTAGTTGTTTTTTCTCTTAATCAAACATTTAAAATATTGTATAATTGAACTGAAACTTTATGTGCCTTATCTTACCTTAAAAATTAAATTCTGAATTAAAAAAATATCATTAACTTGCAAAATAAACTGAAATTCTTATAAAATGTATCTTTCCAGATCAGAATATGGGGTTGGAGATGCATGTGCCTCCTTTAAGGAGGAACATACGCGCAGAATTACATATTTTTGGCAAATTCAGAGATGGTTATGAAATTAATATTAAAGAAAATGTTCTCATACGTTTAAAGTCTGGATACCTTACATTGATTCAGACAGATAAACCGCAGTACAAACCCGGACAGACAGGTAAGATATTTTTTCGTTGCAAATACTCTTGAAGGAAGTTGTAACTGATATTATAGATCTAAATGGGCGATAACTTTCCTTGCATTATGCTTTTCTGTTAACGATATATCATATACAACTATTCAAAGTTTAATGATAGATTGAAGTAGATTTTAAAAAAAGTCAAGTTAGAGAGTGAATGACGTAAATTATTTCTTCAGGAGCAACTCGATTTTCTAGTGGAGGTGGAACAATTAACTAAATAATTAGGTAGATGTATAGATGGAACAAATATAAAATGGACTATCACCGTTATCGAACAAAAATGAATCAAAAGGAAAAATGCTTTGTTGTTATTAGAACTTTGAAAATGCTAAGTAAAGCTGGCTTGTAATTTATATCAATATTTAAAGTAGGTGAAATTTTGAAAACCAAGAAATCTGTGCAGAAATCTAACACACTTGCTAAAGAAGATTTGTGAATAATTTTAAACACATCGATGCGCTTTAGTAGTGACAAATTTAAGAATTAAATATCAAAATTCAAATTTTAAGACTGAAAAGGAAAATTTGAAAAAAATATTTACAGAGGCAGTGGTGGATATACCACATGACAACTGAGACAAATGAGAAAGGGCCTTGACACGGAGTAACCCGGCTGCAGATAGAAAAAATGAAGACAAATAAACAGAAATAAACAAAAAAATTAAGAATGGAAAGACTATTTATTAATAAATCTTTAAAATTATACTAGAACTCTTCTGTATTATTTTAAAATAAAACATATCTATATCACCAAAATAACTAATAAAGTAACACAAAAAGATTCGGTGCTACATAGTGTGCCGAATCCGATTGCATCCACTGTATCAAAATATAATATGCATGGGTTTTTATGCATGAACTCCAAATATGCACATGCGTATTCGCTATTCATTATCCATTCGCTTGCTATTTTATTTGCTGTTGTAACAGGTTAACGTAATTATTCATATTTTATTACATGATTTAATTTAGTTTTGAAGTAACTGATACGAACGGGCCCTAATTTGCAAGGGATGTCCCTAGAGTGTTTTTTATTTTGCTTATTTGATAAATATTTAAATGCAGCTTTTCAGTATAATACCTATTTAATTGAATGCAAATATACCAAAGAAAGCTAATTTTTAATCTATCCTCAAGGAACGTTTTCAATATTTCTTCAATCTACCTATTTATGGCATGATTAAACTCTCAGTCGAACACCTTGCAAAGTTTTCTATCAAATGAGGGAACAGATGTGGGAACGAAATACTCCTCGCGGATTTTGAAGAATTTCAGAAATTTTCACACTCTCTTTCCACAAAAAGAAAACGACTGCTCTTTGCCTCTTCCATGGTATGAAAAATAGTGCTAAAAATACGCTCTTTTATCCCTTCCCCCCCAAAAAAAATAATTGGACTAAACAATACTGCAAGGGATAGCTGCACAAACGTGTCAGAACTTATCTTTGGCCTATAGCATCGCCTATAAGTTGTAGGAATCAGTTTCATTCGGAAACAACCTATGTAAATTTTGTCTGGTGTTATTTGTCACTGAATGGGTTAAAATGTAACTTATAAGTTAAGTAAGGGAATGTCCGCGAATACATTTGGTGAATAAGAGGAAAAATAGCATTACAGGTTTCCTTTTGCTGTTATTTCTACTGGGAAAATATTTTAAATGATTTTATCAGTAACCATGTGAGTTAAGCCTCAATCAATGGGAACAAATTTCCGCGATAGACTTACTAAGTAAGAAAGGACTGCTGTTCAGAATTATGCAAATTTTATTTTATGTCTCCGAGCTGAAGAGCACGGCAGATGAAAAAGGGTTAGATTCATAGGCGAGCGCTTGGAGCTTCAGGTGGTAGTTTCTTCTGAGGTGTCTGCTCATAAAATATGGAATTAAAGAGAATTTAGCAAGGTAGATTTGTAGAGTTTGGGCCATGCTTGGTGAGTTGCTGTTTTTCAACCAGTGTAACATTTCCAAGGAACAAGAATGAATAAGTTTCTGTCAAGATTACGAACCTGTGATTTCTTAAAGTTCTGCTGAGGATTTAAGACAAAGCGCATGTACAGTCCACCTAATATTAAAGGCGGAAAAATTGTAAAAAAACCTTATGTAAATGATACAGAAGCTTTTCTTTTTAGAAGATCTCCCTTTCAGAGAAACATTATGATTTAATATTAAGAATCAAGCAAACCTACAAAACTTTTTTATCAATGGTAGGAAGGAAATTTAATTTTTTATATGTCATTAGAATGCCAAGGAAGAGAGAGAGAGAGAAAGAATTTTTTAATTCATTTTCAAATGCGAATTGACTAGCTCAAACAAATGAAATCATTAAACTATTTGTCAAAACTTTGCGCTACTCAGCCAGTATAGAGGTTAGTGACGTTGACTGTTCTGATCTATCCACACTGCATTCACCGGAAGATTTACATAGACATATCAACAACAGAAATAAGCGGCTACATACCTTTCCATTGACTTAAAGAGCATATTCGACAAACTGTGATGACAAATCTTAAAGTAGTCCCTCAGAGAGACTTGCTGCGCTGCTAACATCTACCACACCTTCAACAGCTACTTGAAGGAAAGATACTTCGTTGTGGCAAATAATACCAGCCTCACCGCCAAGCCTAAGGAAGTGAGTGTTGCTAAGGATACTGTGCAAACTTCATGCTTTGGAATCTCATTTGAGTCTATACTAGCTGCCCAATGGCCGATTACACGCATTTAATAACATAGGCAGATGCCCCTGCGTTTCTGGGCTGTGGTCGCAACAGAAAAGAGCAAGAGCAACGATGTCAGGAGATTTACAACCAGTTCACAGCCCTACGCAGTACTTTAAAACTTCAATTCTCATTTGAGAAAAGGGCAGCACTATGTCCAAGCACCAGCCCTTTCCACAAACTCTGCATCAAGCTGGCGTAGGAAGAAATATGTAAATGGTTCAAAACCGTAGGTAACTGAAGCTTATACATAGGCCATGTCTCTCATTTGACCGTTCCATCTACTGGAATATCATCTGGCTGCCTTACTACATGTCTGTCACCTGGCTGCTGCATTTAAGGTTCTGCGCTCTAAAACTTACGTCACTACTAGGAATGCTGGGGGCAAAACCAGGACATTAACAAGATCCTGTGCTGTACAATCATTAAAAAATGGTCCCATATGTGACTACCAAATGATGCTCTCCAATGCGAGGCGGCAAACAGAAGCTTTTCCTCATGATTCAATGGCCCTTTGCATTAAATCTCTATAAGAGGTATAATACTACAGCCACCAGTGTCGCAGTAGTACTCCCGAGTTTGCACCCATTATATCTACGAGCGGAACAGGAATCACACGTACTCTGAAGTTATGCAAAGATGTAACTTGTTATAACACCTGTTACAGCTCAGCATTCTATGAACATCGGAAACTTCTCAATCAACTGCACCCAGATTACAAGGAATATAAATCCGCATCTATAGTACAAAAACCTATCTTGTTCGGAGCGATGCACAGGTATTCTACATTGACGACTTAAACACCAAGGAAGGAGTAGGCTGTGCCACAACCAATATAAATACATCAAATTATATATACTTGGAAAGAACACAGGAAATAATTCAATAACGTATTCCAGGCGGAGGCAGTAACCATTGAACAAATAACAAAAGAAAATAATTCATATAGAATTATCTACTCTGATAGAAAATAATCTCATCATCAGTTTTGGTTATCATAAATTAAATTTTAGGCAAATCCTTTCTCTAATAACAGCCATTCAAGAGCAATTATTCAAAAACGAACAATGTTTATTTGGTGTAGGCATAAGCGCACAACGGACTCGAAGGAAATGAAGCGGTTGGCCACCTGGACAAAGAGGTTACGCGCGACACTAAAGAAAGGCAATATCACATCTTAGCGATTTTTTCCCACCTTAATCGTAATCTCCACCGTAAGTCACCACTCTTCTGATAGCAACAATTGAATAAAAGCAACACGACACGTAGCGCTTATTCCTTCATTCCAAAAGTCTCCTCCGATCGCTCCATCTCCATCCCACAACTCAAGCGTTTAATCACCGATCATGGTTCTTTTCCAGCTTATTTAAAAAGGAATGGTATCACCAATACTAATGTCTGTGTTTGCGGCCATTAGGATAGTTCTGACCATAACATGTACAGTTTTTCTCTTACGATCTCTTTGTATCTATGACCTTCTTCAACCAACTCAAATAAGACGGCAGCATGCAAACCCATCCAGGTTACTAATCAAGCAGCAATCATCGAAATCTGCAAGATCCTGGATTCAGTATCAGCCCTAGGACAGGACATTGGTCAATCTCACTGAGCAAGGCTTCCCTAGTGCAAACTTGCGTATCTTATATTATATGATCTCATCTGTGCGGAGTATACGTATGTGACTGGGTGAAAGTATAAATACAGAGCTTTAGGTAACTTGTTTTATGCAAAACCTGTATTGTGCTATGAGCAAATTTCGATCTTTCTTATAATATAATTGCTTAGTATATGTGTATGTATTTATGTGCCATATTTTAAATGTATTTCTTTTTTGCTGTAATTTGATATTTAGCGGTATTATTACATACATAATTTTGACTGAAATCTTAAAAAACACATTTCTAAATTTCTACTGTTTAAAGTTCCATTTCTTTTTAAAAAAATAATGTTCCGTTAATTTTAGGTATTTTTATTTAGTTAATTATTCATATTCCCTATTATGTGTTTCGCACGTTTGGATTATTAATAGTGTTATATTAATTTTGACATGGCTCTTTATTTTCTTTCAGTTCATCTTTTCTTGCTTAACTCTAATTATTTTAGATTTTCAATTAATTTTCCATTCTGATTGCTGAACTTATTTCACTTCATCAAATTCTATTTATTTAGTTAGAATCTTTCAATGTTAAATATGTTCATGTTGTTATTTAGAAATCTGTTGTTACTTTATTTTTTAAGTCTCTACCAGTTCAACGAATCTTAAACACTATACTCATAGTTTATCTTTCATTATAATAACTAATGCTTATGCATAGATGCATACAACATGAAACACCTACAAACTCATAATTATAATATTAGATAAAACGATAATTTATCAATTTCGGTTACTTTTGAGCAGTTCTAATAAAACGGTTTGTTTATAAACGCTTTAAATTTCTCCCCATAAAATATGAAATGATGGATTTCATTGCATTCCTCTCTTACAAATTTAGTTGAAATGGTTGATGACAAATAAAGAACATTTTAGTTCATACTGACTCGTGCTGTGACTTTCTTAAAAGCATATTTATATTATTCTAAGGCAGAAATTGTTGAGAATTTTAGTTATACTTCACACAACTAGTGTGCTTAATTATATCAATTTTATATGCTCTCAGTTTACAGTTACAGAAGCTTGAAATAAACTTTTAGTTTGTTTATTTTCATTCTTTCTACCCATTTCTTAAACATGGATATTTTAAATCAGGCATTTTAAAAGGTGATGCTTAATTTTCCACATTTATAAATCAGACTTTAGCTAATACACTGGTTGAATATAATATATAGGGTTTGTTGGGGAAGTTGTAGAACTGATTTTTCCCGTCAAAACGTGGTGAAGGATGGAGATGTTAATGCTTTGGTCGGGTTGTGGGGTATCTTATCTACCAGCGCCAGCGCCAGTGGTCTCAAGATGTGCAATGGTCAGAACGCCATCCAACGGCTAAACGTGAGGTAAACTTAGCGAAAGTGCAAAATCTTTTGACCTATGACCACCTCAGACTCAAAAAACGAATCGCCCGGGCCCATCAAGCAATCGTCAAATCATGAAGACTCCATCACGATAATGCGCCAAACCACGTCGCCTTTGCTGTCATGGACTTCTTGACCAAACATGGCATCACACAGTTTCCTTAGCCAACCTACAACCCAGATGTTGCTGCTTCAGACTTCTTCCTCTCCACTCGACTGAAAATTGTCATGAAAGGACGGCACCTCGGCTCGGTCCAGGCCATTCAAAAGGCCGTAACGAGGAAGCAGAAGAGCATTCAAATTTTTTGTGTTCGAGGGAGCATTCTGTGATTGGCAGAGTCGCTGGAAACGCTGTGTTGATGCAGAAGGGGCATTTTTGTAAATAATTGTTTTTTAAAAAAATTTCAGTCCTACTACTTTCCGACTCTGTAACAGACTCTGTAACTTGTAAGCCTACTCACAGTTCGCAAAAATATTAAACAAAGATATCCATCAAATACATGAAAACACCAACGCCTAGTATTGGAAACTGAATGCTTATGCGCTGCGATGGCAAAATTATTTTAACTTATGCGCATTCTACTATATATTAAAAAAATGTTAAAAAGAGCAAACAATAGCACAAAAAAAGATGGAGCACCAGAAAATTCTCAGAATCGCATAAACATAAATTTTAATTGCACTGTAGCACTGGGTTGTGTGAAGCAGTGAATTTCCAAAACATCGAGCAATTAGTCAACATTTATTGGAATAATGAGAGATGAATGAAGATTTTACAATTCATCAAAACTTCAATACTTATAACAGCGCATTATGCTGATTCGCGATAATTAAACATTGTTTTGTCTCATCTAAAAACTTTAAAAAATATTCTTTCTTCACAATCTTACTTACTCTTGGTGAATGAATGCTGCACCTTACTTTTCACATACGACAAATCATCTGAGCTCGGTGGGGGTGTCTACAAGTGAGTTTTACATTAAAATATTCGTTGTTATTGTTACCAATCCCACTTGTCTGACAATGGTCGACACAAGTCCACAATATTCATCGGGGCAAGGAATCAAATGCTCCTGGCGTTGGCAACTACCTTAGACGGCAACTACCTTAGGCATCTATCAAATTACAGCCTGACTTTAGTTCTATTCCGCCCCTAGTTGTGAGAGAGAGCACCACAGAGAGACAGGTCCGAGGGTTTCCCATACCAGTTTCTCTGCCACACATCTCACGAGAGGACTTTCGGCTTGCTGCGTATTTCGAATGAACCCATGCCGCACAGACACTATAAATTTACATACATCCATGTCCTCTCTGGGATTCAATGGCTTTTCGGTGCAACAGTCAGAGTCTCTAACCAATATCCCGGTTGCGCCGCTTACAACTGTTGGATATCCAGTGTAACCCCTACCCACCCAGAAGTGGAGGTTTTTGAAAATATTTCTTTTACGCTTTGATGCTCTAGTAATGTCATTTTCACTATTTCATTGAAACAAAGGTACAGCTATTAAATAAAAGACTATCACCATGTTTTAATAACACAAGGCCGAGCCTAGATTTTCGCCACTTGTTGGTTTGGTTTGGGTTTTATGTGACATTATACTTTACAATATTTACGCTCTGCATTGGTGTATTAGCACTGTTATTAAACAGGTCAGTCAAGTTTGTCCTTTCAGCGTGCTTTCAGAAAAACTGAAAGCCCTTAAATATGGCATGGTTTGAGATTTAATTTCCCTTTTAACAAAGCTTTCATCGCCTTAAAAATGTTGCAAAGCAAGTGTTCCATTTGTAATTTATTACTATTTAGGCAAAGATTTAATTTCTATTAGTTGCAAAAACAATACATATGATTTTATACTCAGCTGATATTGCTTTCATGAATATGTGGTACATTTCGATAGTATATTTAACATTTCAGCAAAACGAAACTTATTGTAATATACTACTTTACATTATTTTTCTGCTCATTTAATTAAATATATTACATATTCTTTTGCCAATTCTTTTTTATTTTTCTTCTTTAGTGAGATTTCGTGTTCTACCACTGAATGACGACTTAATGCCTCTAGGTAAAGATGCAGTAAGTACGAAATTTTAATGTTCTGTGAATAAATTTTCATCACTTCTATTATTGAGCAGAAATATCAATTTCCAGAGGCAAGGACTTCTTTAATCAGCCATTTAATGTTTGTGCTCTTTAGTATCTTGTAACATTCAGTCAGTCAGAATTTTAAATGAAAATTTAAAAAAAAGGGTAACATTTGAGTAAGTTACAAATTAATATTTTAAAGCAATTTATGACTTAAAAGCTTTCTTCTCATTAAGCATTATAAGGAAAAGCAAATACCTCTTTAAAGTCCAAAAAACTAGCTTTTGCTTCTTATAATACTCCACTTAAGCGTTAAATTCTAGAAAAAAGATTTAACCTTAGAAAACTGAAGCCTTCGCCAACCTGTAGTATGTTTAAAATACCGAAACCCCCATCCCCGTCTATTAATCGTTTCCTTACCTTCCCGTCTGTTAACACACAAAGAGGTGTGAAGATTTCAAATGACATCCTTTTTACTTCCCCATAAAGAAGCTTCCATTAGCTTTTTAGAATAAGCTCTCTGAAATAAACTGATACAATGTATTTTGGGAAACTGCATCTGCTACTAACTATCTTAGCGATAGGGAAGAAAACAACATCGCAGTCTCGAGCGTTCCGGTGGTTGTGGTGATCTTACCGAAAGCCCGCCTCTGGCATTTTGATCTTCAAAAGATTAAATATTGATTCTGAACACCGGTTCATCATTCTATGTCATGAAATTAAGAAGAAAATACATTAATTACAAAAATAAGGTTTCATGGTTGCTTTTCCTTTTTTTTATGTCTGCATTGAATTGCAGATACAAAATAACACAGCAACGCAAAATTCGTAACTGCTATTCCGTTCGTGAGGTTAATGCTTTACAGCACCTTGCACATAGCAACAGGAAACGAACTCCAGCCGTTGTGGGAAGCCACCGGCATCCAGAGCCACGTCTTCTGCAGGGGTTTTGATTCCTTTGGTAACGATTCCACAGCTTATTGATGACATTGCGATGCACATTCAGCTCTTCCCCAACAGTGGTTTGTCTTCGACCAGCTTGCAACATCTAGAACGACCCTCCCTCCAACGCATTTCATCGTCCAGAGGGTGCCTTCAGTTTATGCTTTCCGGTTTGGCTGCCTCGGATTACCCGGAACTACAGCTGCTTGCGAAATGACGCATAAGTTCGGCATGCCATTTTTTAAAGCTTTGTGGTGTGACTGCGGGATTGCGTTTTATGCCAATTTTGTTTGCCTCTCTATATTCGGTGATGCAACGTCTACCTTAATGTAAACTGTATGTATTAATGCTAGTTTTACATCCGTACCTTTTGTTTAGTTTTTGATACTTGCTTTTTAAGCACTTGTGTACTTTTTGTATCAGAAAAATATTACCGTAAAAGTTTCTCATTTTATTGACTGAAAAATTAAAAAGATGTAATTAAATTCTCATTATCATTCTTAGCCTGAAAGTTAATAAATAACACTTAAATTTTCACTCAGAATTAACTTAGGGAAGAAAATTATCAGATAATATGTATCAGACAGCTAATTTGCTTTACGAAAGAGATATACGTATAATAGAAAAAAAATTATATGAAATGTTTTATATTTTATATGAAATGTCATTATGAATTCAAAACATAAAACTTCAATTACTGCCGTTACTGTTTTTGTTGACAAAATTCTCTCATGTGATAAGTGTCTTTGCCGCAGTATATTTATTCCATTTTTTTCTAACAAGGTATAAATTTTAATAACTACGTGGAAAATGAACAACAAACCGTTAGGTTAAACACTATGAGCTTACTTTCAGATTATGTTTTTCAGAAAGGACAAGTATGGATAGAAGATTCGAATGGTATAAGAGTATCTCAATGGAGCAATCTCACTTTTGAAACACGTAAGATAATGTTTAATAGTTTTAGTTAGTATTTGATTTACTTAAGGGGGCTCATACACCTTAAACCCCTTAACACTCTTCGAATCCTCCTTGCGTGCATGATATCTTAAAAATGGCTAATTGTACATACTTGAAATTGGATGGAATTCTTTATAATGGCCCTATTTTTTAACTGAACCGAAAATCTGATGAATATTTTAATATTAAAAAATTTTATGGACGAAAACATGAGAGATTTGTTTTAATAAAATGCATTTTATAAACTCAACTCCAAATAAAATAAAAATTTAACATTAATTCTTAGACCTTTTGGTTTACAGTAGTTTCCAATGTTATAAAAGCTATATATTAAATATGGAATTAAATTATGCAACAGAATGTTTTAAACTGTGCCCACAAGGTGGAAACATGACGAAACATTTTGTCACAAAGCGAAATAAATTATAAAAATATTTGAGGCAACACAAACTTTCTGATTACTATTTCAGAAAGCAGCTATATTATGTAGGCAGCTGTAAAAAGTTGGAAGTAATTACTTTTAAAATAAATAAATTATCTCAATTCTTGCAACAGTCACATATTCGAAGATCTTATGGGTTTCTATGCGGAAAGGAGACATTCAAAATACACGGGATGCTGAGGATACGGTAAGAACTGTGAGAAGCTTTTGGGCTATTCCCTACGGGGAACTGGTCTACTCCTTCGAAATTGGAGAGGAAATTTAACAGTTAGCTAGGATCATATTTATCACCTATGGTGCTACAGAGGTATTTAACTAGCTTCTATTAGTACCTGTTCTCATACTAAAAGAGTACTCTTTGCATTTGCTAGATTCGCAGTCTTATTGTTTTCTATGTTCATGAGGCTTGGGTATAAGCTCCCAGTTTAAGGGGTCATTAAATCTTCTCTTAGCTTCTTATAACTCCTCTTATCTTACAAAAACAATAAAAGTTATCATTCAGGACCATTGAATGAATGGTGTACCTAGGACTTGAAACTAGTTTGATTAACCGCGTTCTAATCTTCTTAAGTAGCGGGCTAACAAATTACAGTTTCGTTTTTGGCCCAAAGTGATTAATTTAATTCTTCGAATGGTGAATTAGACTTACCTCGACAGATTGCGACGTCAATGTGGCTTAACTTATTGAACAATTTACTATCAAAATCCAGTCATACTAACAGTTTCCATGTTGCCTTTGTATCATTATTTGTTGCTCTTTGTGCTAATTCGTTAAAAGTCGTTGCATTACATATTGTATGAAAGTTTTTAATAATTACAAATCAATTACATTTTAAATTTTAGTTAGCTGTGTATGATTTCCTGTCTAGTGATGAAGAATTTTAATTTCGTTCGGATTATACAAATGATCTGGGAAATAATTTAGTAACTTGCTTTCAATTTATTCTTAAATTACATCATTTAGAGTCAATATCTTTTGTCTCTAATATTTAAACTTGCTTGCAGAGGGAGTGTTGCCATGATAATGAAATAACCAAACCTTATTTAACTGTTCTACGGCAAAATTCTCTAATGAAACTATTGAATATTCTTTAACTATTGAATATTCTTTATGATTTAATCTTGTTCTTCGGAATAAATGTTTTATTTCTCACATTTTTGAAAAATACACACTATTTTTAAATTACGCTTTAATAAAACTGATATTATGTTTTATGAGATAAAAATTCTTGCAAATATTTCATCAAAAATGTATTATGTTTTTGCCAAACACTAAACAGCAGAACAACAATTATTTTAAAATTTCAGTTTGTATATATATTTTCTCAATAAAAATCACCTTTCTTCTAATGATTCCATATAAAGTACGTGAGTATATGCGATAAATAATATGCGAATTGACAAGTTGATGAACACAGTTAACTGCAAACTAATTCTTGTAGTGCTTACCTTTCAATTAAAAGTTTCTAATAACAGTAATTTTTAATTACTTAAAACGAAAATATTCGTTTTGTAGATATAGAAAATTTGTTTGGACGTAGTTACTTAGATTAAAATGCTGACTAGAAAATGCATGAGAAAACAATTAGTATATTTATATCTATAAAACCTCTAATGTATAAAGGAAAAAATTCACTATTTATTTTTTATGTGTGTAAATCTCTGCAAGTTCAGGTCAAATATTTCCTTTTTAAATTTTAATTCTAAACTCTTATATTTAGTTGCAAAATGTATCATAAGTTACTCATCTATTACTACAAATTTATTTCCGACTTAAGCCCTATACGTACTAATAGCATTTTAGATAAGAGTATTGAAATATTATCTTCAACTACATCATTGCAAGAAAACATATAGCATGAAGTATATAATTCCACATTCCTTGCTTGACAAATTTTTTCAAAAATAAGAAATTTTGAACAGAAGTTTTTAATCTACAGTGTGTTGTTTTTACAGATATGATGCAACTGGAGCTGCCTATCTCGGATGAACCTGGATTCGGTCAGTGGAGTATTAAATCTACAATCAACGATATAAATCACCAGATAAATTTCAGAGTGGAAAAATACGGTATAAACATACATTACAATTTATTTCATTGGTTGCATATGTCATACATATCTACATATATCCAGATATAATTCAGAAACGCTGTTTTGTTTAAAATGTTTTGTCTACTCCTTGGAAAAGACCAGAGAATTTTCAATTATTTGTTGTATTTTTATATTATTATTTTTTTTTCAGTTTTATTTGATCTTCCAGTTATCTTGTTGAGCATCATTTTTTTATTTAATTATTATGTTTTGATTATTTAATTAACTTTGCAGCATATTGTCCAAATTTAATAACTAATAATCTCAATTTTGAATTTTCTTCCTCTTAATAACTCTATAAATTATATACTCTATATTTAGTTTTTCTATCTCTTTGCATATATATGTGTGATTGCGTGTGTGTGTCTGTAATAAAAAGATAAAAAAACGTAGAAAAAGTTTATAGCGTAGTAGGTATATTCATACTGAAGAGAGAACTTGACAGTCGAGGCGGTTTAAATTCCATTTTTTATTTTAAATTGACATTTGTGACCACAATTCTCTCGGCACTCTAATCGTGCCTATTTCTAGAGCATTTACATTTTTTATACTGTTGCGTTAGGAAGAGAGCACAGCCAAATAACGTCCAAGCAGTATTTACAGTACGATGCAATATTTTGTAGTATGTTGCCTATATAATTATTTAATTGTTGTATTTAGGGTCATAATGTTAGGCTTTATTTTACATTTGTTGGTATGTGTTTCGTAGGCAAGTGCTTATTTCTAATGTATAGTTTTTTCAGTTCTGAATACAAAAAAAAAAAAAAAAAAAAAAAAAAAATGAAACAGTTCTAGGAATTGATCAAGTAGAACTCGAGATATAGGCAGCTATATTCCTCATCGATCTCGCTACTCGAAGTTTCCTTTTACATTTCAGAATCCTGTCTGCTTATTAGCGACCAAGTGGTAAAGTTTCTGAACACTGGTAGTTCATCATGGGTTCGATTCCAAGCGAATCGGCTGGCTACATGGGCGTTTTCGTGTTTTACCTCATGTGTAGTGTGGATGCGAGACGGGTTTCCTTAAGTGAAGTCCTCAACGAAGGCATGCCTTTCTTTAGGCAGGTACCCCTTACATACTTTTCCATATCAAGGAAACCAAACCAAACCAAATTGGAAAGCCCATATTTCACCAGACCCGTTCCCGTGCTACAATATACAAATACAACAGAGTTCTTAATTATGTGAATTGTACTAGTATAGTGAGATTTGTGCCCACATAGTTGATAATCATGTGTGAAATTTAGCAGTTAGCTGCATTGCGATTTAGAGTTTACCCTAAGTAATTTTGAGAATTGATAAGACTTCATTTGAACTGAACTCACATACTGCTTCATCTATTTCCAGTTATTTATTGTGTTGTGAATTTTTAAGTAAACTGCCACTTTCCTAATGATTACCTCCAGCAATTATTTAAAGAGATATCAAAGAACCCTTTGTCCGCAACAATATAAAGGTATTTGTTAAGTGAAGATATGTTTTGAATTTATACATGATTCATGAATAATAATGATATCAAAATTATTCTTGAATTATTGAAGAAATTTCCCTAAACCTAACATCTTACCTTTATTTTGGAAGGAAAAGGAAATTTCGTTTCAAGCTATTGAAATACCTTATTTTTTAATCTACTGAGTTCTAAAAATATACACCCATTATTTTGTATATATGTTCTGTTTTAATTTTCAGTTTTACCAGAATTCGAAGTGAAAATAAATTCTCCTCCGTATGTGTTGGATACTGCAGAGACATATTCTGCCGAAATCTGCGCACGGTAAATGTTTAAATAGTTCTCATATAGTTCTTCATGAATCTATGAATACTTAAAAGTGCTATTTATATTTAATGCATTTATATTCAACATTCCTCAGGAATTGTGCGGCTGACTATTGCTGAATTATATTAGCCAAATTATCATATTCCTTTCATCTTCTATCAAAACTAGAATGCAAATCAAAGAGATAAGTTCAATCATGTCTTCTTATTTTCGGAATTGGTTTTGTTTTCCATACTAAGTAATAAAATAAGGTATTTAATATCAAGGCAATATAAAATTGTTTAAATTTTTCTCAAAAAATAAATCTCCTAATTCTAAAATAAGTGATGTAAAAGGATTTACTTTAAAGGTTTTGTTTCTTTCGGTTTAATTTAAATTAAGAGATATTAAACACATTTAAATTTCTGTTCACAGATTTTTAAGTCAAATCCTATTAAATAATTTGTTTTAAAAAAATGTGTCTCTTCTAAAGAAATTTCGCAATTTTCCACAGACGGAAATGCGAAAAATGTAAATAACAAACGCTGTTAGTAGAGTTCTCAAAACATATCTCTTGATAAATGTGATCTTTTTACGAGTTTGTGGATGATTTAGCTTCCCCGGTCTCCTCCAGATCGTTAGAAACAAAGTTTAGGAAAATAAAATTGTTTTATACATAAAATTTTCGAAACGGACCCAGTTCAATGTTTTAGTTTCAATGAAAATATAATTTGAAATTTTCCTCCTACGTTCATTGCGAGAAGCTAATATAAAATTAATGAAAACAACTTTGACTCACCAAAAGAATGACTTTGAACTTTGCACATTAATTACCGAAATACAATCTATCTTCATTTTGCATCATTGGCACCACTTTCTCCTACTAATTCAAAGAGCATGAACCTCATACTGCTGGCCATTTGTTAATAAGAAACTTGACTTTCTGGCACCACTGGAATGTGGAATAACTCAACCATCGGCGAATTCGGGCAAAACAGAATCAGCTGAAATCCAACTGCAAAGAAAGATTATATTTTTTTTAAATATAAAACGAACTTCCATGAAACGCACACTAGCAGATCTTTTTGAACAGGATGGGTTCATACGAGTCCTGGACATCAGAATATCAAGAGCAATCTTTCACAGAGCCGTTACCACCAGCCGTTTTTCATTGATATTCAACAAATGTTCAATAGCAGCCTGAATTTTCTGATCTAAATAGAAGTTTTTCACTCAATAGCAGCGTAAAATACTGCAAAAACGTGATCGACTTAAAACCTTCTTATCTTTAAACTGATAAATGCCAACAGTAGAACAAAATTTCTTTAGACTATTACTTATTTAAAATTTTCGTATTGTTCTATGTCTTAAAATTATAAATTGTAGTTAATGACCTGAAACTGCAATAGTATATTTCAGTACAAGTGAAACAATTGACAGTTTTTCTCACGCGCGTGTCGGATTTGGGCAATGCTTATGGGGTTCCACAAAATTTTCTTAAATATTATGGGGGCCTGGGGTCGCGAAAGACGTTTTACTGATAAAAAGGGGCCACGACTGAAAAAGCCTTGCTCTAGGGAAATAATTCTCTAGAGAATTAAACGACTGTCAATCTGCGATAGCTAAATACTGCTACGAAAATAGGATGGCTTATCAATAGCTAATATTCTCCCACCATAAATTAATTTAATTCAAAGAAATTAACATAAATTTATCATTAAAGTTTCTATTTCCTGAAAAGGAAACCAAATAACTAGGAATTCTTTACAGCACTAAAGATACATTAATCTAGATATTACTTTATACTTGTTTACAAATAATAATCATCCTTTAATAATTCCCTTAATAAACTACCATTTCCTAAATAACTAAAATAATAATAGCTCTCTTTTGTTCCGTTTGCAAATAATAATTTCATAAGTTCAGTCTCTTAGGACATTTAATTTCACAATCACATGCAGACTGTTTTGAGAAAGGCTGTCAAAATTTTTTTATATCCACGGTAGCTAAATACTACTAAGAAAGTAGGCATGACTTATAAACAGCCAACAATAAGCCCCATTTTCAACCAGTCTCTTTATAGGGACAAATATCTAGCTTTCTGCTTCTAGTGAAGCTTCCAGACACGGCGAATGCGAAGTTTCGTTTTGAAATAACTTTAATAAATTCAACTACTTTCAGTTTGTACAAACCAAACTGTAAACATATTATAATTAAATATCCATATATAAACATCTAATAAAAATCCGATAACATAATTAAGAAAAAATAAGTATTAGAACACTTACAGGTTAGCTAAATTTTACTGATCGAATTCTGTAGACGACAATTCGAAAGCGTGTTGCCATTGTTGAGCAAAGAAGAGATGTAAATTAATTACGAGAGGCGTGACAGCAGACAGGCTCCATATATAAATTATTCCTCCTTCTCTATCTGAGCGTTATTTTTACTCAGTAAGAGGAAAGTGTAAGCAACTTTACAATTTTACGTTAATTGTAAATTGTGTGAAGAAGAATTTTGTTTCAGGTACACATACGGTAAAAAAGTGGATGGATTCTTGAGGGCTAGAGTTATAGCCGAGACGAATGAGAAACCTTATCCAAAAGTGAAATATGCGTGGAAGGTAAGAAATTTTCATATCATGAATACATGCTGAATTGAAAAAAATGCATTTTTTTGCAATCATCCTCAGAATTAGAAGATTATCTTCTTCTAATAATTAGGATATTCCAATCAGTATGTTCTAAACAAAAGTCTTTAATCTAAGCTTTACATAAAGCAACTGTATATGAAATTTGCAAAGTTTAAACGAACACTATACATATTTTACATTTACAACATCTGCAACAGTAGTGTACATGGATCAAAGCATTAATAAGGCTGAAACTGTAAGATTTTTCTTTCCTTCTAATATTATATCTTCCAACTCAGAAGACAACTGTACATTTAAATCCTCAGTCGGCTCAATTCTTAATGCGCAGGCAGTTTTTTCATTTATTGGAACAGTTACAATGAAAAAGTAAGTTTTCCTCCATTTGAAATATACGTAATATCATTCATTTATTTCTCCCTTAAAATCAATAATATTTTATGAATTTACGTAACATTTATATATGATAAGTTTGTGAGATGTTACACACAATGAACTCAAATGTTCACAATATTAAATATTGTGAGAACATCAAAAAAGGAAAACGAAGATTGGAATCAATTCCTTTGTAGAATAATTCCGTTTAATAAATTTGGTGTGGTATTGCAATAAATCTTCTGTTTTAAAAGGACGCAATAAGCAACGTTACAGAGTGTTTAATAAATGTACCTATGTGCTTTTCATGCTTAAATATTGATTGTACGTATGATATTTTAATAAATTGTTTAATTGAAATACAGAAATTATGAAAACAATTTCAATAACGCAGTTGTGAATGTTGCGATAAACCAAAATCTAAATTTGTATGTAATCTAATTTAAAACAAATTTTACAATGAGTAAAGTATTCTTGCGAAATGCCCAGCGGCTGAGCGATGAGATAGCTTCCCCGCAAAGTCTCAGGAAAAGGCCAGCAAGTCTCAGGAAAAGGCAGGGATGTCAGATTTGGCACGAAATCCAACATTTGGCACCAACATTTGGCGATATGTAATAGACGGAGCGAGAATATTTTAGAAAGCATTCTTAGCGGTTTTCTTGAGAATATTCTCGAAGGTAGAGGAGAGCTATATATACCCTGCCTGTCGTAGGAGAGTGGTAGAATGTATTGAGTTCAGAGATTACTAGCGTCTCGAATTCAGAGATTAGCTTGAGAGCGATCGACTGAGTCGGGAGCTGTAAATTAGTGCTTTCCCTTGAAGTTGTATTTACTGTTGTAGCCGGAAGTCTGTATTGCTGATTGTTTCAGTGTGTTTATCGAAATTTTGTAATTTTCTACGACTGTTAAAGTGTCTTTGGAACTGTACTGTGTAATACTGGCGAATAAATTTTGTTTTGATTTTTCATTAAGTGTTCTCTTCAATTACTCCAAACCCACACACTCGTAGAACGCAACAGTAATTAACAGAATATGTTTCATTCAAATAGTTAGAAAGAATATGTTTCATTTCTGCAACAGAAAAATTCGTAGAAATGTAAATGAGAAATTCACAGAATTCTTTTTTTTTTTTTTTTTTTGGTAATAATATAAGTATTTTATTTTGAAGCAGCACATAAAATCTGTCATGTGTGAAATATTATCTGGTATAAACCTTTTCCGTACGGATATATATATATATATATGTATGTATGTATATCTATATATATATTATTTGTAACTACATAGTAAAATTAACTACTATCTTCAATAACTGAAGTATATTTTTACTTCCTTGTACGAAGTAAAAAGGAAGTATTGTAATCGCGAAAAGTTTCAGGCAGCATATTTCAACGAAAATATCCATTTTGACCGCTATCGAATGCAATTTAATGTTTTTGCGTGATATCTGTACTTAAGCACAGAATAAAATACTCTTTTCCTTCAAAAAAATTATAAAACCGCTTTAAAATTAATTCTGAAGAGAATTTTTCTTGTGGAATTTGTGGCGTCTGTACGAACGTATGTACGTACATGCGTACGTACGTATCTCGCATAACTCAAAAACGAGTAGCCTTAGAACGTTGAAATTTTGTATATAGGACTGCTATAACATGTAGATGTGCACCTCATATTTTGGTTGCAATCGGCCGCACCAAACCTATATAAATATATTTATATATATATCCACTCTGTTACCCGGCTGAATGATCTCAGTTTCTTTACTCTTATATGTTTGTAAATTGTACATTTTTTGCTTTAAAAATGATTGTATTATGTTGTATTTATCTTCCGGTTAAGGTTTTTATGCCTTTAGTAAATCTGTATGCAATAATTTTAGAATTATCAACGATTTTAAAGTTATCTAAGTGCCGCTAAGCCTTTTTTTTATGGCGGCCATTGATGTTAACATTTGAAACAGGAGACTAGTGGATTTGGACAGGAGACTAGAGAAACTTAGCTTCGCAACAAAAAAGATAACGCATTCATTTATTATTGCCAATTAAATCATGCTTAATTCTTTCTGGAATTTTTTCGAGGAAATAAGTGTTTAAGATTTGCTTCGTAATTTTTAATATAGATATTTTGAGTTTTTATGTATTTTTGCCTTCTCGCGAAGTGAGAACTGAATTAATTAAATGAGAAATACTCAATCGTCTGTGAAAATTTGTTTCTTTTTTGTTTTGTTTTCTTAATTTCTTTTATACATCATTCTAGCTTTATTATAGTATTTGAATAGAACATGTGGCAACGATTAGATAATTCTATTCTTTAAATGATATAAATTTTGTGCATTATGAGTTATAATGTGAACGAAATATATAAGTTAACTGTTATATAATTATTGGATTATATAACAGGTAACTTTGTTTCCGTTATATAATTATTATATAAGTTAACTGTTATGTAATTATTAATACTGTTAAGTGAATCTAGCGCCAGAGTGTCGCTATGGTAAACAAATACTAGAGTGAATTTTAAAGAATGCATTTATTCTATTGTGGTTTATGCGCTGTCGGCGAAGTAGATTTAATTCAATCCAATATGTTTAAATGAAATGCAAGAAAAAATGCGTATAACTTAATATTCCGTACAAGGAAGTCATGTGGTGTACACATCAGATATTTTACTTTACTGAAAGTAATTTAAATGATAATTACTTTAATGTAAGTTGAACAAATTAGGTTTATTAAACGAATGCCAAAAAATAGTTATAAATTTTATTCTGTTAGCATGGTATTTAAGTATCTCATTGTTTAAGAACGTACTTTCAAGTTTTAGGAATTAGTTTCACAGTATAAATTTTACCCTCCTTTAACAGATTTCTGGCTGTCACACAATGATCATCAACACTGAATATTTATCTTTCAAAAATGGTCTTCAATTTAAATCTCTAAAAGTGCTAGCAAACGTCTTCCAAGATGGAACAGGTAACTAGATTTATTAAATTTAATTCTTATACCTAATTATCTAAATGAATCGATGGAAAAAAATTGAGAGATATTTATTGTTTTTAGTTCGCATCCTGACAAAATGCAAAGTACAGCATACCGTTTCATTTATGATAAGTGTTAATTACAAGCCACATGCGCAAGCGATCAAATGATATAAATGCACAGCTCTGCCTTGAATAATTAATTGAATTATATTAAGTAATGCACGGTTCTTTATATGGCTTATCTTGTGATTAAATAAGCTCATAGCATAGTTTTTTCAACACAGTTTGAGTTTTCTCTTTTGAAAAGTTCATTTTAAATAGAGGCTATCATATTCGGTGTTTTAAATTTCTTGGGAATTAAATTTCAGACTAGTTGATCTATCGTAACTGCTTAGTTTAAATGTTTTTCAGGTGTTAAATTGGAATCTGCATACGAGAGTGCAGTTCCTTTTTTACATTTGTGGATTATATATTTTTTATTCTTTAAAATGCTTTTATAAGTATTGAAATTTCAATGTTATGTTTTTCAAGGCATTTGACTATAATCTGGAATTTTCATATATACACTTTTAAATGCTTTGAATATGGTCTTAATATAGTTTTACAGTAGAAGAACCGTGTTTCTAGAGTTATAGTTAGTTAAGGATTCTCAATATTCAGTAACACATGATTATATAAAAACTAATCAACTTTAAAAATGAATTTTAAATTTTATGAACTTTTTATGGAAAATAGTATAGCATTTAAAAGAGTAATATATAAAATCACAGGTTCCCATTTTGCGGAATACCGTTACTTAATTTTGTTTTCGGATAGATGGGTGACACATATAGGAAAGTAGAAATACTTCACAAGAAATATCGAATATCGCAACTTCATTATTAAACACAGTCTGAAAATGAGCTTAAACATGTTTAGCCAGCGAAAACAGCATTGTTGTAGGAATCTGATCCATAAAGGATCATAAAGTCTTTTCACTTTACCATCGGCATTATATGATTTTTTTTTTACATCTAAGAGTAGTCAAAGTTCCAAATCTTCAGGTACACTAGAAATCTGCATAGCCATTCATATTAAAGATGATTAACGAGATTATTGCGTTTTGGTTAGAGTCGATTGAAACAAAATGGAACATTTTTCCTTTCCCAAAGAGTATGAATACCTTACGACACAATATTTATCATTCTTTTAGGTTAGGAATGAAACGCCTTTCATAATATGTGAATAAAATCCTGAATACTGACTGTAATTTTTCAAAAGCCAACAAAAATTTTTAATTACACTGTTTCGTGATTATAAGTAAAAGTAACGAATTTAAATTAAAATTGCTTAAATGTCCTCCAATAAATGTGACTCATATGTTAATAATTGCTAAATAGAGCTTGTATATTAAAGGGAATGTAATTTGTTTTTAAGTTGATTCTGGATGACCTTGTCGTCTTATTCAATTTCTTTATTTATATACTGCTAGCCATTAAAATTGTAACACCATGAAGGAATGATCTGACGAACGTCTAAATGACATGCAAAGAAAAAGAGGTTGTGTTATGCAAGACCATTTAGACTACTCAGGATGGAGAAATGACATCTGAACCACTGCATGAAAGAAAAGTTGTGTAGCAGATTTCTCATTCAGAATGTGCTTTGTAAGGCTGGAGTTTGCTCAGAATATCGTGTCATGCCTCGAATAAGGAGAGTAAATGCTTACCAGTAAGTTTCGAAATTCGATAGATGCAGGATGGTTGCCTATCGAAAGTGTAGATTATCGTTCCGTGATATCGCCGGTAGCATTGATCGACATCCAACCATTGTCATGCGAATATGTAATCAATGGATTGCTGGGGGTGATACTGAAAGACATGCAGGATCTCAACTCCCTTCCATGACTAACACCAGAGAGGACAGACATATTGTGAGGTCAAACCTGCAAGTCCGTACGACCACATCACAGACCATTAGTCAGGAAATGGGCATATTTGCAGCACACCCAAAGTATCAGTTCGTAAGCTGCGTTGACGTTTGCAGCACCTAGGATTATCAGCAGGGTGACCATTACTTCGGCTTCCCTTGAAAATGCAGATAGAGAGAGACGGAGACTGGGTACAAGACGACACAGCTGGGTACAAGAGTGGCACAATGTCGCCTTTTCAAACGAGTCCCGGCTCTACATGCTATATTCTGATGGACGTATATATGCCTGGAGTGTCCAAAGAGACCGCACGCCGCCTGCTTGCATTCGATATAGGCATAGGGACCTTACACCTAGTGTGATGGTTTGGGCAGCCATTGGGTACATGACACGCACATCTCTAGTTCGGATGGATAGTGACTTGCACGCAGATGGATCAGGGCTTAATTTCTAAAAGTAGACGTGCCGGAGCCCTATGGAAGACCGTCATGAAAGAGGAACAAGAGTAAATAAATAAATAAAATCACTACTAAAAATCATTAATAATTTTTAAATTGAATAGTTACTGAATATCAAATTAATTAATAATTAATATTTATTAATGGTTGTCATATTGATTCCTAATTAATTAATTATTATTTATTAAAATAATTAAAGATTAAAGTAATTGAAATTAAACAACATGTAAAGAGATAAATTAAAATTTAAGAAGTAATTTTTTATATAATTTTATTGCTTAAAATAAAATTTTCGAGATCAAATTTCTACTGAAATAATTATTCATTTACATAAAAATGTGCCGGAGACTTCTTATTTAGGGCTCCGGTTCTCTCCGGCTGGAATTAGATTATGTTCCAAAAACTAAGAAGTACCGGAGCCGGGCTCCGGTGGGCTCCGACGCAATTTAAGTTCTGAGATGGATACATTTCTGACATCTTACGTCCAGTGGTTGTGCCCTATCTTCGAGGCCTCCAAACGCCATGTTCTAGCAAAGTAATGCAAGACCTCATGTTGCACGTCGTGTTCTGACCTTGTTCGATACACAGGGTATTCGACTGCTTCCCCAGCCCGCATGGTCTCTCGATCTGTCACCCACTGAAAACAAACATCTGGTCAGGGGTTTCTGAGAAACTGTCCCGAGAAACTTCTGAATAGTTATTTAACTGTAAATTTTCGTGCAGGTACTTCAACACGCTCATCAATCTCCACATTGTCGACTATGCGATCTGTATGACTTGCTCAAGATTTTATACCATTTCATGCCTCCATAAAAATGCACCATATTCCATATTTATGAGAAAAAAGGCTTTAGGTTTCAGGACTTGTATTGTAGATTCAGTATTCTGGATTGGGAATGTTATTAGCCATTGAAATCATGCGACTTGAATTCAGTTCAACATACACGTGATATGATATGAAGATGTTTGATATATCTTCCTGATCCTTCCTGAGTCGTTGCGAGAAAAGAATATGTTTATTCCGTGAATAATATATGCGTCACATATAATCTTGAGCTGCCTTAGATAGTTGTTGCCACGAATCACAGAATGTCCTGTTGTTGCCACGAATCACAGCTGGCATGTATTTCCGAAATAATTTATCGCGTTACATATTAACAAGTTTCATCTGAAGGATATTTTGACGCCAAAATCCTTACATTTTATATAAAAATTCTATTTAAAGAACTCTTGCTTAACTTCCTTTACATTCCAGATTCCACAAGTATTCCAGCGAAACAAAATCATTAAGCATTGGTAATGCAACCTAGGTTAAGATCTTGGGGGGAGGGAACGGGATAGATATCCCATGAGTTGCCGTACATGTAAAGTGAACAGCAGCCAGCTTTGCTTAAAAAATATCATCCACGTAGACATCCCGTCTAGAAGATATCCTTTGTGTACTCTGCCATAACTCAAAGAGCTTGCGCATGAAACCTTTACATTTTGCGACATTAATATCTTTCACTATGTGTGTGAAATTTTTAACGAACTCGAGTAAATACTATATTTGGATGCACGTTATTTTTTTTGGGGTGTTATGGACATGAAACTAATTGTAATCCGATGGTTACGCCTTCCTTAATAAAAATGTTCACATACCTTACAGGTTTCGTAGTTTACGAATTGATTTGACTAATACCTTATAATGTTCTTCGGTACTTTGACTATGTAGAACGTAAAGGAACATAATGAACTTCAGAGTGAGTTATTGCTGAGTTCACGTGTATAATAACGAAGTCTAGGGAAAGGTTAAAATACCCTTTTATTCAATCAACAGATGGCCTCTTCTCGGGCTTACAGGAAACCCTGCGCTCGAGCTTTTAACTCAAGATAAGAAAAGAAGAAACTAATCTAATACTTAACAGACTTAGCCGAAGCTAAACACAAATATCTAACGTAGATGGTCCTTAATTTAACCTAGGCTGCGATCATCAACAGGCACGTACAATACACTGCTGAGCGTAGTAAATTTAAGAATGAAGTAGCCAGACGGTAAAAACGCGCCACTAGGACACCCAAACTCTCTCTTTAAGTAAGCTTCCTTAAATACTTCTAAGTTATTTACATAAAATGAGATATACTAAAAACTTATTCCTGTAGGAAATAGTAGATGGAGAAACAAGAATAGACAGTAAAGCACGTTTAAGCTTAAAATAACTGTTAGAAATTTAAAGTAACCTCTAAAACCTTTTCGGCAGATTTTAGATATTTTAAGTAATGAAATTTAATACATCCATTCCGCTTTCTAGATAAATTTGTATTTATTAAGTTTTTCTCACTCAGTTTTACTATTTTTATAAAATAAATGTTAATATCTCTTATTCTTAACTTTAATATTTAAAACTTCTTGTTATATTCAATATTCTTTTTACTAGACACTGTAGTTAACAAGACAATCGCAATTCCTATCGTGCCAAAAGAAAAAATGTTTCGGCTCACATTTCTAAATTCTGATGGAAACGGGGATCACTACAAGCCAGGAATTCCTTATTCTACTATAGTAAGTCAAGATCCCATTTTTGTTATCATATGTTATAATAAGAGCTATAACGTATAACTGAAGTCATGTTGAAAAAGATGCATGAAACTAAATAGGCTTAAAAGAGATTGAAATTGAAGTTTCCAAATATTGTAGTAAATAATAAATAGAAAACTGAATTGAGGCATAAAGAGTAAATTTAGGTATCATTTTACATTGAATTCTGTTTGTTTCACACACACACACAAAAAAAAAAAAAAAAAAAAAAAAAAAAACAAGAAGCCAAAGTACTAAGAAAGAGAAACAACTTTTGCTTAATGCCACGGTGATATGGAAGAATTTTGCCAACGAATTAAGAACAGATTAGCGATTCCGTTTCCTTTAACTAGTTTTATGTTTAATTTTAGTTTTTGTTTTGGCATTTTGCGTTGAAACCTTTAAAAAGCTGTATCACTTTTTAAATTGTTGCCGACACCAAATATTATCGCCCTGTATTATATTTAAAGAAATTATATAATAAAGAATCTGCATAAATGTATGCATGTTTCTCGCATTGTGATAAAGCAACAGTACCTAGAGCCATCCATTTTTGAATGATGTAATCCTACTGCGAATATGGGAACTGGAAGCGCAAATTTGAAATTTGGAATTTGTTTTATTATAGATTACATATTTCGCAAAACTTTAACGAATTTTTGATTAGCGAACTCAACGATTTCAAAGCGAGCAACGGCAACGTTGTAAAAAAAAAGAAAAAAAAAATATCTCCAGCGCGTGGCGTGGTGAGACTGTGTATCGAATATTCAGAAGATGTGCTCAAATTAAAATTATTTTGCGATACTGCTCTTGAAATGAATTTTATAGCTAACTGCGAAGACATGAGATTTAATAAATAAAGGTAACACACAAAATTAAAAAAACGCCTCTTTGGACGTAATTTAAAATCTGACACCTTTCAGTTTTTTTTTAAATATTTTAGAAAGCATTATCAGTTGCAAAACCTTTCTTAAATACATTAGTATACTTATAAAAGCGTGGATTTTCACACGTACTAAAATATCATTTTCGTTCATTAGCATTTCAGGATTATTTTCATATCAAGTACATCTTGTAATTAACAGTTGAAACGAATTTTTGTCTGCCCATTCGATTCTAAAGAATTGTATAACTAAAAATAATTGGCTGTTAAAGTTAGTTTACTATAAGCATTTCTCATATTAAAATGAGATATTTTTATCAGGAAAGGTATCCATATGGTGTCAGTTACGAAATTATAGAATACCGCATCTGCATGTTAGATGAATTCTTATACCGTGTGATGCTGTACAGAAGAAGTAGACATGTTCTAGAGGGGGAAGAAAAGCTTTTAGTATTTTCTTAGAGAAAACCTTAAAGGACCCACAGAAATCTTTCACGTCCCAAAGGAACTGTTTCCTTTATATTACCAGCTGTTTGAGAAAATTATTAACTGCCGCTTCATTTCTTACCTACAGAACAGCAGCTATTGACCCTCACATAATTCTAGACATCTCTTAAAATTTTTTTATTGGAAATTAATACGCACGGTGTCTTCTCGAAAACGAACGACTTAATAGTAATCGTTTTTCGGCATACAAAAAATTTATCATACGATTTGGACTAGCCATGCCTTATATTATCGCTACAGCATTAACTTCGGCGTTAACCTGTTAGTTTTTATAAAGAACCTTTTATAAGATAGGATCTTCCAAATGAAAACTAAACTCTGAGTTATTGTTGCTTTTCCAACTAAGAATGTGTGCGACAGAACTGTATTGTAAATGTAATGTTTTTTTTTAATTAACAAAATCTGGTTTTTTAAGGTGTTTCTCTAACAGTTGCTCAATTGTCTCAGATACAAAGAATTTAATCGGTAAGACTGCGAAATCTTCGCATGGCTTCAAAATAACTCTGAAACCATGCAAAAATAAGTTTTAACGTTAATATGCCTCCCTCGTTTACTAGAATACGGTGATGACATGTAAGTGTACCGCATTCTCTATGTCTCGGAAAGTCTTCTAGAGTCCACATAAGGTGCTCGGATATGTGCTTTCCTATGCCTCTCTATCACACGCTATAGCTTATTAACTTTGATAAACAAATAACTGACAATATTTGCGTGACAATTAGCAGAAATCAGTGATCATCCAGCCGAAATACATGCCTTTATTAAGGTCATGGCAAAATTAAGGTCATGGTTTGAAATGCTAGTTATTCGCTATAGATGATGCCAATTGCCGTCTCCTTTCATAATTCATTTGAAATGCTAGTTCATTCCCAGAAGCTCTCTGATAGGACTTTCCAATTTTCATCCTAATTTCAGTTGAGCTTAGGGTTTGTTAATTGGCCGTTTGTGACTGTAAAAGTGTCCCACACGTCCAAGCTTTTTGTACCTCTTTGTTCTGTATTTATAAGCACGTAAAGCATGTGTATAAACTTCTGAAGCATGTGAACCGAACACTAGATATTCTGAAAATGTTAGAAATATTAACTCTATTGATATGATTATGCTTTTTTCAAGCAGAAAAATCGCGAATCCTTTAAAAAAGTCGCCATAGAGGTAAACATTACTTTCTTCTCTGAGGTGAGACCCAATTCCAATGCGCACAATATCCACAGACAATTGGCATATTTTTCAGCTGGTGTTCGAAACAATTCTATCCTTTTACTTTATAGCATGATTTTGTTCTCTTTCACACCAGTTTGTAATATCTTTCGATCCACAGACATTTTATTAGATGTGCTTAAGTTATTTCATTATGTACATATTTATAATTTGAATAAAAATGCAATAGTTTCATAGATTTTTTGTGTATTTTAGTTGCAAGTTCTAAAGTTCGATGATACAGTAGCTGCTTGGGTAAACGTTGAGATTTGTATAGACGAAGCAGAATGTTCGACAGTCCTCTCTGACAGGGATGGAATAATCAGTATTACTCTCAATACAATTAATCACGACAAGAAAGTGTTTAGTATTAAGGTGAGTTGGTTAGAACATTTCATTAAAAAGGTAAATGCAAACTCAATAATTTTAGTATAAAAATTTATGGGAGCAAATGATTTTAATCTGCATTAAATAACAGTAACGAAATAGCTTTAACTACTTTTTACTGATACTTACTTAAGTGACTTAAGTAAGTATCAGTAAGCACTAAGGTTTAAATTCAAATCACTGCTATTCATTTAACACTAATTCGTACATCTACATAATCCTACTTTAATTAAAAATAGCTGAATTTATAACTCAAATATAATCAAATAATTAAAAATAAATGTGGATTATTAATAATGTTGCAGGCTTTTGCACAAAACCTTAACTCCCCCTGTATGAGAAAAATTTGGGAGGGGGGATATAAGTAACATAACAATAATTGGAATGCGGTATAAGCACAAGACTGAAACTGGAGAGCCAACTGCCCTTTGCTGACACCGACTATACAAGGCAGCTCAGACATCGTCTGTAACTCTGAGATGGCTTCAGTTTTGTGCGGGGTTTGGTTCTATGCCGTATTGATGTCATCCAAGACTCCGAAAAAATAATAATTTAACCGAATTACTTCTGTCTAGATTATAACCACCGCGGATTATAATACTCGATTATATTACGCAATGTTCAATGCATGCGGTTTTATTCCTATTCTATAGCAATTGGTTACATCCGAAAACACTGCAGATAAAAACAACGCAAGGTGAAAATGCCGTCGTTCGACAGGTCCTGAGAGAAAGAAAAACAAAGAGAAAACATCGCAGGTCTAAAACATCGTGGTAGAAAATATTCTCCCTGAAAACACAGCTATTAAAAAACTTAGCACTTTAAAAACATCGTTGACGAAAATTTTGTGGTAAAAAATAAAACATTTACAAATCATTGCATACATAACGATAATATCGCAGACACGCGTCTTCCAGGCTTTAACTCTGCGAAGAGCGATGGCTTCCTACAGTTAACCCCCTTTGCTATTAAACGTCTTACTCACTCGTGTGAGCGGTTTTCAAGACTGACCGTTTCTGAAGTTCTCTTGTAGCTCATTAGATGGCAATCAAGAAACATAAGCCAGTAGTTGATGCAGCAATTCATCTTCAAGAAAATAAGCATCGGCCATCGAAGACAACATTACGACGATATGCACTCTGCAGCACCAAATAATAAAAAAAAAAAAAAAAAAAAAAAAAAAAAAAAAAAAAAAAAAAACCTGTAAGAACTAGTGTGAGAATGCAGCACATGCAAAGTTGCAATCTGCTTGAAAAAGAAAACTGTTTCCATGAGTACCATAGAGACTGATTTGTAGGGATGTGTTTTGTGGGCGGTGGTCACTGAGACTAACCATCAGAAGTGGTCATTTTTTTCACGCGTCTTGGACAAAATATGTGTAATTGTCGGAAATAATTTCATTGTAATGCCTGATATAGTAAATAAAACAAGAGTTTTGCTGAAAAAAGTTAATTGCCTTATTCTGTCCCTCAAAGAGTTAAACGTTGTTGTAAATGCATATTTGCATAATGATTTAGTAGTGCAAGAATGAGAGAGGAGTATTTTTACTTTTACATTATTCATTGCTGAATTAACTAATAATTTATTGCTGAAAAAGTAAGATAGAAACTTAAGATTTTAAAAACAGAAAATGAGTAGAAAATTAATGCAACCTCTAACACTAAATAGAATTTTAAACTTACATAGTAAACTGATAAGTGTCATTAAAAATTAATTATTTTATGAAGTTTTCCTGGTAATTCTTCGTGAAGAATATAGTCTAAAAAAGATTAGAAAAAGGAAGATCACAGATCATTGTGTGAAAATATATTTACAACTTTTAAAGCTTGAAAACGCATGTCTGCGATGTTATTGTCATGTAATGATTTGTCATGTGCTTTACTTTTTATCACAATTTTCGACGACTATGTTTCTAACTGCGAAGTGTTTGAATCTTATGCTTTCTGTTGACACCGTACTGATCCTATGCCGATGTAATAACGATTCTACGACAGTACAGATTTTATTCTAATGTCGTTATAAAGAATTTTAGCTTACTTTTTCGTACGTCATGCTGTTTGTTATGTCCCCCCCCGGAGGTCGACGTAGAGAATTCTGCGAAGCTACTGGCTAGGATCTGTACCTAGGCAGTCTCGCCTACGGGGGTATAAAATTTATGAACTTGGTGGTTCTGAAGACCCTGGGAAAGGTCACTTATTGGCCACCCTTGCGGTCTGGCACATCCTAGCGCAGCGTGGTTCTAGTAGCCCGGGTGCTAGCGCTCCCGGGTACGCTGGGTAATGTCCTCTGCAAAGGGCAGCCTGAGTGACTGGCAGGTAGCAAATTTAATGACCAGTGCCGTCTGGGAGACTGGCGCATCTGGCGGTGCACCAGAGTGGAGGTTGAACCTCCGCATCTGGTTCTGAGGAGTGGGGTGACTTGTAGTGCGATTAATTTGGAACAAGGAATGCCCAAAATTTGTTGTGTGTTATGTTTTGTTTTTGTTATTTATTTAATAAACTATAGTGACATTTCAGTATCATATCCAGGTAAAGCTTATACCTCTTAAATATATATTCATATTGTAAATTATACAATTCAATAAATCTTAAAAATAAAAACTTCAATAAATTGCACACAGTAACACATACAAGAATAAATTCGAATCTAAAATGAGTGCTGAAATTAATTTCAAAGTGAAATAAAAAATATACCTCACTCATGTTTCATATTTACTATGAAAGTCCTGTTTAAATACCTTAGAGCGTAAAGTACAACAAATTTTTCTTTGTAAAGATAAAACAGCAGAAATGACACCAAATATTGGTTTTAAAAATGCTTCTTTTATCGGGTTCCTACGCTTTTATAGTATTCGCATTTATAGCGTAAAATAATCCATACACAACTCGTGGTCTGAAAGCTATTATTTAAGACTGAAAACAAATTTATTTGCAGGTTTTTCAAGCAAAGACTGGGACTCATTTGTTGTGTAATAAAATTAAAAATGTTTGAAATGCATGGTAGAGTTAAAATTTTAAGTGTCTTATAAAGATTTAATTTTGAGATAGTATTAGCTATTAAAATGCCGAGATCTGTCGAATGCACAATCTACAGGATAATGTATATTTAGTTTGGTCTAATTTTATGTTCTACTCGCACAGACATTTGCATAGTGTTGATGATGTGTGCAATTTTGAATTTTGATTGTTTTATTTTCAAACTTACACGTGTAGAAAGATTTTGACTATAAGGGCAAAAACAAGCCATTTTCTGTGCTTCCAAACTATTATTTAATAAATTTAATGATTAAAAATATTAAAAAAATTATGCAAACTAAAATATGCAGCTCTTCGGTTCAATCTGCTTTACACGGACCAATGTTTGCAACATTTCTGCAAAACGCATGTTTGCAACATTTCAACATTTTACTTAAAAGGCCATTAAAAACTATATATATTTCCGATTATCCTTTCATTCTGGCCCCGAAATTTCAGCAAATTCGCTGTTCCGTTTTTCGTTAGGTACCATACTCTACAGACTGTTGTATACTGGAAGTTCAGCGCTCTATCAACTTCATTTACAGATATAAAGCAGGCGAACGGACTGATTGAATAAGCATTTCCTTACTTTCTCCACATGTAAATGTGACCTCGAACGAGTCCCGAAGGCAAATAACACTAGCTCGCTTTTTACTTAATTCTCTGAAGTAACGAAAGTATTGTAAATTTTGGATATTTGTAAAAATTTTGGATATCATATTTCAACGAAAATATTGATTTTTACCACTCTCTAATCCATCTGAAGATGTTTTTGCGTGACGTTTGTATATACGAACAGAATTTCTTTTTTTTTTTTTTTTTTTTTTTTTTTTTTTAACCGATTGTAAAATGGATTGAGAACAGATTATTTTACTATATTTATAAATATATATTCAGTGATTACGTCTGTGGAAAAGAGTTTGATTTTCAGGGAAGAAATTTCTAAGTTTATCAAATTACAAATACAGAAGAACTTCGGTCAAACTTGCGCCGGAGTGCGTAAATAGCCCGCATATGTTTTGTCAAAGCCACCTAATTCGATTTACATGTATGAAAATAAGGAGAAATTCAAGTGAAATAAATGTTTGGGAGATTGAATAAATAAAATTATTTAAGGCAGATCATGAAGTGATATTATTTCTGAGGAATATGGAATAATTTCCAAGCTATCTATTAAATATCCTAATGATTTAATTTCTTAGCTTTGTTTAAATAATCTTCCGTAATCTGCTGAATATCTATGAGAAAGATACTCAAGTTTTATTTTTTGAAAACTTCAGACTCATTACTGATGATCTTTCTCTTCTAGGCAAAAGTTGTGGATACATTAAATGAATCCAATTCATCCGATCAAAGAGCAAGTACTACAAATTTTTTTATTAAATCATGGTATTCTCCTACTCACAGCTATATCCAAATCAAACGTATCGTAGAAGAACTAGAGTGTGGTAAAATTCAGAATATCACAATATATTACACAGCTACAGAAGAAGATACTGTTCAGTTCTACTATCAGGTGAGCACTTAAATATGTGTTATCTCTACGAATAACATACATTTTGGATAGATATTGCTCGGGAGGTCAAGCTTATGTTTAAGTAAATTTTCTTTCTAGCCAGATTTTATTATTCTCAGCTTTACGTAACAAACGATCTACAGAGTTATTATAAATGATATATTATATTCTTTTCAAATTATGAATTGCACGTGTATTCGTGACATTCAAGTAAATTCGAGTGTGCAAAAGTTTTTTTTTTCTTTTATTTTCTTTTTTTCTTATTTTTTATATGACACACTGGGTAGCAGATACGTGTCCCATTTTCAAAATGGCGAGCTTACAAGCTTACAACCTAATGCATTTTGTACATTGTGTGATACATTGGGTAGCAGATATTTGTTCCATTTTCAAGATGCTGAATTTACAGCTTAATGTACTTTCTGTTTAAGAATATGAAACAGATTTATAGATACATTAGGTTATTTCGAAGCAGGAGGCATGAAAAATGAGCAATGCCCTCGAAGGGACTCGAACTTCGGACTTCTCGAATATGCGCCGAATTTTCCGACCATTACACTACGAAGGCATGCTAAGAAGGTGAGGGAAATACCCTATATACTCCTCCTTTTAAAGGGCTCCTGGGTATTAAGGGACCCAGTCACCAAATCCTTGTGTTGAAGAATTATCCTTCATCATCTTTTTTAGTTCGGGCGCCACTGTAGAGACATTAGGTTATTTCGAAGTGGGAGACATGAAAAATGAGAAATGCCCTCGCCGGGACTCGAACTTCGGACCTCTAGAATACGCGCCGAGTGTGCCGGCCATTATACCACATGCTAAGAAAGCGGAAGAAATATCTTATAGATTTATCAATTGTTACTCTGCAAAATACATTTTGAAAGCAGTGTGATGCAGATCCTCAAATCACCAAAGAATTCTGCAGTCAATAAGGATTTTAGTAATTAAATTTTAGAGATAGTTTGTCGCTTAAACCACAGTAGTAACAAACATCGTGCTAGATTATTTGTAAGATTTTGTGATGGAAATCATCCGATTTCAGGCGTTTCAACATTTACAGTCAACGTGCTGTGCAAACTTTGTGATTCCAAGCAAAACACTTTGCAAGAGAGCAATTTTGCTTTCCTTCTTTTGTTCAGTTACGACGCGATATTTCATTTCTGTGCAGTGCTAAATCTCGACAATGTTCCCCTATGGGGCATAAAAAATTACTTTTCTCTCGTTGAATTAGAAACAGGATTCACCGAAATGTTACATATTCAGTACCTTTTGACAGCAAATGGGTATGGTGCTTTTTTTTTTCAAGAACAGTGTAATGAAAAAATAGTACCTTCATATGTTACATTTTACGTTATTCCTTCAAATGAAAAATAATTCAGAAAATTTCATTTTGTATGATGACGAAGATTTCCGCATTTTGGCCAAAATGAGATAGATCGCTACATGAAGGGTAACTTCTGAACTCGTTGGATTTGTCGGTATAAGAAAGATGATTTAGCATTGTCCAAATAACCACCAAATGTTTATCTTTCCTTTGAAAGTATCTAAAATGTGTGTATGCCCCACTGGTAATGATAGAGGAAAACTAGCATCACATTGCCGCTTTTTTGATAACTATCAGCAAGGATATTTTAAGGAATTTCAGTCTCCTTTGAAATTACAAAATTATGTAAAATTTTCATTTAATTTTAGAATTTTTTCATGCTTTATATTGTTTTAAAAGAAGCCATTTTGAGTAGCTAATGCACACGCTATTAGTAATTCAAGGAATGTATCCATGAATGTTACAGCATTACCTTCGGCCTTATTTCATAGCGTCAAATTTATCTCGCATTTTAGTTTAACTAGTAGCACTTCCTTCATTTTATTAAATTTATAAGTTTTTTAATTATTCAGCACTGATACGATTAGTGCCCTCCAAAAGCACTGCTAGAGTTTGGAACTATTTTCATGTAACAGTACCTTTTCAATAGCAGAAGGTTGATTAATCAAATTCACGATGGGAGACAAATCTAAAATCGTTCCTTAGCGATACTAAGTAATAAATTAAGGTCGGCGTTAACGACCAGAATAAAAATATCTCTATAATTTGAGCAAAATGTTTAAGCTTCGTAGCCCAACAGCCTTTTTATACAACAATGCATTTTCGTATGCAGAGGAAGCAAACATAAATAAAGTGTAACGAAACAATGCTTCAATAGATATTTGAAAAATACTGATACTGGGATGTATGTTTATATTCTATGCACTAGCCTAGGTAGCTGCATTTTCTTTTAAACAATGAAATATCATGCGGCTGAAAAATTACTAACTGGTATGCAAGGTTAGTAATTTTTAAATTGCATAGCATTGTTATTTTTAAATTGCATAGCATTGTTATTTTTAAATTGCATAGTAACTTTGAAGACATAAGAGGAATACAAGTGAACAGTATGAAATGATACTAAATAACCACAAGGTCATTTACTTAGGTGCTATTTCTACATATTATAAAAGATGTATGGTGCGTAAGTACTGAGATCATCACTATATTCTACGACATGGACTATTAAAATATTAATAAGGTGTTCCTCCCGCCTTCTTAGAATGCTTTCGTGGTGTAATGGTCAGCACACTCAGTGTGTGTTCGAGAAGTCTGAGGTTCAAGTCCCGGGCAGAGCATTGCTCATTTTTCATATCTTTTCCTTCGAAATAACCTAAAGTCTCTACAGTGGCGCCCGAACTAAAACAGGTGAGGAATGATGATTCTCCCCCACCAGGAATTGGCGACTAGTCCCCTAACAGGTTACAAAAATTAGTATATACATAGATCACATATTTATCATCTGCCGTTTCCGACAAGAACGTCCTTCATCAAAATCCACCTCGTGTCCAGTCTCAACCAGAATAGAAACATTTCCCCGCCTGGGGTTGAGATGTAGCATGTTGTTTATGTCAAGTTCTTTAGATTATTCTCGACATAAGTAGTCTTTAGTACTCTGAACAGAAAAAAGTGAAGATGGGGGTTCCTCAGATTCGATCTTTTTCGCCACTTATTACATCCCTTACCGGCACCCTCACTGGATGACTTAACATGTAAATTGAATTCAACTTCTTAATTTCTCAGGCCTCAGACGTTGATGAACGGTTAAAGATTATTGAATGCTTATTTTGTTCTGCTTCGAACGTGTAGGCTAATTAAAAGATTGGTTTTCACGATTTTTCTAATGTGTAGCGTAAATATGAGCCCTTTCCCTTAGAACAAGGATGTCAAACTCGCGGCCTGCGGGCCGCATACGGCCCACAACAAATATTTTTTGCGGCCCGGCCAATATATCGGCAAATAATAATATATAATAATAAAATAACATATCGACGAAGAAAAAATGACATGTTTACTGCTAAGTAATTAACGATAATTTATTCAGTGTTGTTAGATTACTCACAGCGAGCTGACACACACACTACTTAAATTACAAATGCGTGTGAGTAGCTTGCGTTCAGCTACCTTCGGCTTTTGGGGGACACGTGCACTCAGAACTTGTACGCATCCCCCGATAGCCGAATGTGGCCGAACTCATGGTCTCAGTTTTCCAATCATAGTTTTGTACGATATATTGGTGCATGCATGTGCATGCACTTTGCTTTATTATTAATTATTACTTAATTCCTATTGTTACGGATTTCATAGTTATTTATTTAGTTAGTTTTTTTTATTTAGAATTGTAATTAGATTTGCTTCATGTTGCCTTAGCAACGCAGACGATTTTTGAAAAGACAGCTGCGTGGGAAGGTTAAAAATAGAACAGCGCGTGCATTTAATATCTAATAAATAAATATCTCGTAATTGCTGTTGCCATCCACAAAAATCCAGATATTTATATATGTTTCCAGTATATTCGAGAAATTAATTATAAAGCTTATAAAAGCCCAGAACATACAACTCATCTCAGTAGTAGCTGTAGTTCTAGCGAACTGTTTGTTTACTTAATGCTGTGATTGATTTGTAGCGATTTTGCTGTGAGATGGAATTAGTTTCTCTGTTTTGAATTGATTTTTGCTAAACGTTTGACATTTTGTGATATTGTTAGAATATTTTTGAAGAAATATTTCAGCATTTTGATTTATCTCTTGTGGAAAGAATAAATTTTTGCTAACTTTTTAACGTTAACCGTGTTTATTCCAGCCCTTTGTATTCAGTATGTCTATATCAAAACCAAGTGGTAGTAAAATTAAACGAAAAATCGCTGACGAACATAGAATATTCCAAGTAAAATGAAAATTAGAATATTTTTGCTGTGAAATAAAAGATAAAATTATCTGCTTGATATGTAATAATACTATTAATGTATCAAAGTTATATAATATTAAACGTCATTACGAACAATACAAATTGAAATATAACAATTACGAAGGATTAATGAGAGAAGAAAAGTTGAAAGAGCTCAAGTTAGGAGTGAAAATGCAGCAGTCCATGTTTAGTAAAGTATTGCAAGAAAGTGAAGCGGTGGTACATGCAAGCTACGTCTTGTCCGAGTTGATAGCTAAACATTCGAAGCCTTTTACTGGCGGTGATTTCATCAAGGAATGCCTAATGAAAGCTGGAGATTGTTTGTCCTGGAAATGTGAAGGCTTTTCAATCAATTTCATTGTATCGAAATACAGTTGCGGAAAGAGTTACTGATTTAGCCGCGAATTTAAGTGATCAGATCAAAGCAAAATCATCTAGTTTCGAAGGTTTCTCCATTGCCTGTGACGAGAGCACGGACATTAGTGGCAAAGCTTAATTAGCAGTGTTTCTTCGTTCTTGTGACAAGAATTTTAACATTTTTGAGGAATTACTGGAACTAATACCGATGCCTGGTACTACCACAGGAGAAGATATATTTACTTGTGTTTTTGGACTTCTGCAGAAATACAATCTACCTTTGGCAAAATTAAATTCTGTAGCTACAGATGGCGCTCCATCAATGACCGGGAAAAACAAGGGCTTCGTAGCATTACTAAGGAAAAAACTTAGTGAAATTCACGGTTCAAACATTCATCATATGCATTGTATTATACATCAAGAAATTCTATGCACGAAAGTAATAAATATGGAGAATGTTTTGTCATATATAAAAAAAGTTATAAATTTTATAAGATCTCGAGGTTTAAATCAGCGTCAATGCACTGCTTTCTTAAGCGAGTTAGATAGTGAATATTTGGGTTTGTCCTACTATACCGAGGTACGTTGGTTATCCAAGATTCTCAAACAATTCTTGGTTTTGAAAGAAGAAATATGTCAGTTTTTAAAAACGAAAAATCAAGACATAAGTTTGTTTTACGATCCAATATGGATACAAGATTTATCTTTCTTGGTTGATATAACCAAACACTTAACCGATTTAAATTTATCGTTACAAGGAACAGATCATATCATTACGAACATGTTTGACATAATTAAAGCATTCAAATTTCAACTAGGTCTTTGGGAAAACAACTTAAAAATGAAGATTTGACGCACTTTCCGACGTGCAGCATGAACAAATCAAGTTTAGATGATACTTGTTCGTATCAAAAATACGCAGAAAAAAATTGCAAATTTAACAACTGAATTTGAAATGAGGTTTAATGATTTTAGTTCCCTCGAAGACAAATTTTTTTTGTTTCTTCGATTTTCTCAATAAGTATTGATTCAGTACCCAGCCATATGCAAATGGAAGTGATCGAGATTCAATGCAACTCAAATTTGAAAGCAAAATTCATTGAAGTGGGCGTGCCTGAATTTTAGAAATATTTACCAGCCAGGTTTGAAAATACTCGAAAATTCGCATATGAAATTATTTCCATGTTTGGTAGCACTTATCGGTGCGAGCAGTTATTTTCAGTCATGAAAGGTAATAAGTCTCCTATTACAAACTGTATTAATGATGCTCACCTTGGGTCAGCGTTGAAAGTTATCACTGCAAACAAAATTTCTCCCGAAATAGGAAAGATAATAGCAGAGAAGAGATGTCAAGTATCAGGACGTAAACATTAATTTTTCTTGTTCTTTTCTATATAAATATATATATATATATATATATATGTTTATTATTGTATTATTCGAAATAAATCTACGTTTCTATGAATATTGATTTTTTTTTTTTTTTTTTTTTTTTTTTCGGCCCGCCTAAATTTAAACCTTGTTTGTTTGGCCCAAGTGTACCTATGAGTTGGACATCCCTGCCTTAGAAAGACCTTCACGAAAATATTCTTCCCCTTAGGCAGATAGCATCTGTATGCTTTTATATAATCTAATAACGAACCCCATTTTCTCAAACTACGATTTATGTAAAGGCTTGATGAAAACATCAGAGATCATGCAGGAGCTTATGCTGTAACATGGCTACATGGCTTCTTTTTTGTTAGAGTTCATATAAATAGAGATAGTTTATTACACAATTCTAGTTTTGGAGTTAATGTTCTGTGATTGCGAAAGTGTGATATTTGATTTGTTATTTTCTTCATATAATGAAACAGTAAAATTTCCTTAAGGTTCAAAATCTTCAAGCAAATTTATCAGCAATAATGACTTGCACCAACTGGCGCAATGTATGGTGTTTCTATTGAGGACAATGATGTATAGTTTTATCTTTTAATACTCCATGAATTGCAATTGTTTCCGGATTTGATTACGTATCCATTGATGTATTTTCTGATTGTTTTATCGTGCGTGTTATCTGGAAATGAACGTGTGGCTAGAATACATATATGTATTTTGAAGATTACTTTGTTGCAAGTAAGTATCGTAAATTTAACCCTCTGAGCGGCGCAGGGTTTTGCATCTATCATGAAAACCTGTATTTAAGCAGCATTTGTTCTCTAAATTTGTATGATTATTTATTTTAGTCTATAATTCCATAAACTTACAGTCATCAAGATAACATTCACATTATTAAAAAAAGTAAGAAAGCAAAATATCTTAAATTATAAGTTAACATGTACCAGGTGACAAAAAGGTCATGCCGCTCAGAGGGTTTCAAAATAGCATAAATTATTTCTACATATTAAAATTATTTATATTATGGAAGGACTACGAGGATGGTTATTCTAACATTCAGTCTCTAATAAATTGAGAAAAAGGGAAGAGTTCGGAGCGCTTTTTGTGGGTATTTTCCAGGGTACCGATATGCCTGGTGTTGCAATTAAAACGCACCATAATACACTGGTATGCAAAACTTAAGCAACAGGTGTTGTTTTTGGCATAACTCCACGAGAAATCATCTGAGAGACATGAAATTCAGAATTAAGAGACAGCATTTTGTATTTAAACGATGATGAAAGCATAATTGCTCTAAAAATGAATACAATGCATACAGTATGGAATCAAACAAAAGCAGGCTTTATTGAACTCATAGTATCGTTACGCATGATTGTCTGTACAAGAGGAAGAACAACAAGCAGGTGTTCCTTAGTATGGGATATGCCGTTCCCTTACTGCAATGGTTCCCTTACTGAACGGTCTCTCCATACTCAGCACCAGATTTTCCAACAGATCTTGAGGTAAGAGTGCCCATTCCTCAATCATCATCTGTTTCAGTTGTTGGGTGTTCACTGGAGGATGTAATCGTGTCACAAGCGTCTCCCTAAAGCATCCCACCCATGTTCTATGGGATTTAAATCAAGAGATCACCTGGCAATCCATTCGAGTGGTATCTTCACTTTTCAGTAGCTTCTGAACAGCACGAGTCCGGTGTGGCCGTCCTTTGTCATCCATTAGTCTGCTCCAATGGCACCTCGGAACAGACGCACATGGGGAAGGATCACCTCCTGACGATAGCGATCTCCGGTTACAGAACTTCTGTCGAAAACGTGGAGCTCCGTCCGCCCGTTCAGCATAATGCCTCTCCAGACGAGATCTTCAGGACACCGTAACGGTCTCTTTCCGTTATGTTACTGAGATTAAACCGTGTCCCGACCTCTCTCGAAATCAATTTGTCAAAATCATTGAGAATCGCTTGCGGCACTAAAACGATTCTCATCCGTAAGGAGGATACGACTCCATTGATAAGATGCCTCAGTTTTTGCGTTCCTTGCACCACTGTAAATAGTGGTGATGCCGATGGCCAACTTTCAAAGGGATGCAGCGTTCAGAACGGCAGGCCGAATAGGCCCTACCTTTGTGAAGGTGTCTGGACACAGTAAACCACGACAATTGTCGCCCGTTGCTGTTCACAGTTGTTGAGCTGTGGCGCTTGCTGACTGGTTTCGGGACTCTTTTCGCCTGCAGGATGACTATATATCGGTTATCTTCCTGCAGTTGTTTTCCTGGGGACGGCCACCACCAACACCTTCCTAATAGCTGTACCTATGGTTATGGGAGGCTTTCCTAAAAGACGCGCGAAACTCCACTTTGTTGATTCCAAACTCTTCAGTTATACTGGTCACACTTCGCCACTACTCCAGATCTTCGATCATTCTTCCATATGTGAAATCATCCAGATTTCGTGGTTTTTCCCATTTCTTCTAGCTATATTTCACGAAAGAACTCCCTGTATTTGCAGCTTTAATTGCATCTCCATTCTTCCTTTTATGGTAATTTCGAGTTGACCTCGCCGATCGTACGCGTTTTGCGTACGCTCACGTAACCTGTGACCTTTTTTTTTCTTGACATTTGCATACGCATGACCTTTCTACTGAATTGTGTGTTCATTGTACTGAACGCAAGAATCCCGTTTCTACAATTTCATGGCTATATGATTTAAATTTACATTGTTGCTTAAGTTTTGCACACCAGTGTAATATGTACACATGAATACGGGATTTAAGAACACAGCACATACACAGAAACAGTAAATTTTAGCATTTTAATTTGTTGACCTCGCCGATCGTACGCGTTTTGACCTTTTTTTCACGTAGCCTGTGACCTCACGTAGCCTGTGACCTTTTTTTTCTTGGCATTTGCATACGCATGACCTTTCTACTGAATTGTGTGTTCATTGTACTGAACGCAAGAATCCCGTTTCTACAATTTCATGGCTATATGATTTAAAATTTACATTGTTGCTTAAGTTTTGCACACCAGTGTAATATGTACACATGAATACTGGATTTAAGAACACAGCACATACACAAAAACAGTAAATTTTAGCATTTTAATTTATGTTTTATAAATTTTATTTCTATTTCAGGTACTGTCGAGAGGTCAGATTATGCAACACGGTTCGCATCTTCAAACATTTCATTCGAAGGATGATATGTCTAAATATAAAAATTCGACTGCCTTGCCGAAAGTTGAAGAGTTTGTTTTAAGTTTAAACGTAACAGTGGCGATGTCTCCTATAGCTCGACTACTGGTATTCTACGTGCGAGAAAATGGAGAAATAGTTGCTGATTCAAACATATTTCGCATACAAAAGTGCTTGATGAATAAAGTAAGGCTTTAAGTGTTTTTCAAGAATTTTCAAAACTTTTGGTTTTGGTAAGAGGAATTTAGAGCAGTTTCATATGCATTTCAACTGTCTATGAGCTTTAGAAATTTAGTTCAATTTATCATTTTAAAATTTTACATTTTATTTTTGCATAAATTTAGAATAAATTCATAGGTATTTCGACTGTCTATATCAACTTTAAAAAATTTGATTCAATTTATTCTTTAAAATGTTACTTTTTTTTTTTTTTTTTTTTCTGCAGGTCGGGCTTAACTTCATTCAAAAACAACAATACCCGAGCACCGAAGCTACAATTCATCTATCAGCTAGTCCTTCTATCTGTGGCATTAGAATGGTGGACAAGAGTGTCCAGTTGCTAGACGAAAACTCACATTTCAACAAAGATAAAGTTAGCAATTAAAATTTGTGCCATGTTTTTAAATGATTAACATTATGAATGGCGCTTTTAATTTCAAGTCAAACAACGGGATTACAGAGTTTTCTTTTATATTTCATAGCTATTTAAGCAGCTGCAACACGAAGATATCTCATTAGATTCGAAACCAAGTGAATTGAGAATAAGGCTTTGTAGAAGAATGTTAGGTAAAACTTTATCAGATTTTTATAATGAAGTGTAATTATTTTTATTAAAAACGGGTTAGCTATATTTAAAAATGTGACGTTTCCAATTTATGATTCTTATTTAAATTAATACATTAAATGCTAAAGATTAGTGAAAATATGCCATTATTTGCATTAATGAAACAACTGTTGTAAAGTTTTATCGATTTGTTTATTTTGACAGAAAACCACTAATTACATTAACGTAAATATGCATATTTATGCCATTTTAATAGATAAACGTCTAAAATATATTTGTTTATAGATTTTGATGACTGGGCCTCACGAATTGAAGAAGATCATTATGCCGATTCGCTCAGCGCTTTTGAAGTAAATGAAAATTATTATTTTTAGACGTAAAAAACACTTACCTTTCTTCTAAATCCTTATCATTAGTTTCTTCTGCCATTATTTGAAAAAAACCTTATTTATTAACTCTGAATCTCAGTATTATTGCTAACAAGAAAAGCCCACCCGTGGCCGGTAAAGTCGCTGATCACTGGTAGTTCTTTCCGGGTTTCGAATTTTCAGGGTGAATGGGACAGCTGCATGGGAGTTTTCGTGGTTTTCCCCATGCGTAAGTGCATAAGAACCGATTTTCCGCAGAAAATCCTCCGCGAAGGCATCCCTCCTGTTCGGCAGATAGCCCTTTAATGCTTTGCCGTACCTAAATAAACCAAACCAATCTAATATTAAAATACGAGCTGAACTGCCCTTTATCTTTTTATCTTTAAGTTATGAAACTGGCCGTGATTCTGTTACTGTAATTGGTTCAGCCGTTTTAGTTTCTGAAATAATTATATAAGCTATACTTTTATTCCGGGTAAATTTTACCTAATGGTGTATCTATATGATCGTTCCTAATGGTGTACCTATATGCTTATTTCTAATTATGTATCTATATGATCATTTTGATCAATTTACATATTATTCTAATAATTATATATTTTGGAATCTTCATGAAAATTTATATCGTTGAAGTTACATAATAAATTTAATTTAAGATTACGAAACAATTAACTATTAATTGTTTAAATTTTCGAAAGCGGACATGTTTCTAATTGAGGTAATCCGTTAAAGGAAAAAAATTCGAACTGTGAAGTAAAGATTTATGTGATGAAGAAGTACCGTGATTATGATTGATTTTATACAGTTTAATTTAGTAATTATACGTCACAACAACTGAACTGAGTAAGACTCACAAATCTGAAACACAATCAAATTTGCGAATCCTGCACGCAAACTGGCTGTGACATTATAAAGTATTTCTCCCACCTTCTTAGCGTGCCTTCGTGTTCTAGTGGTTCTACACGTTGAGTCGGTATTCCAGAGGTCCGTGGTTCGATTCCCGGCGAAGGCGTTTGCTCATTTTTCATCTTGCCTGCTTCCAATTAACCTAATGTCTCTACAACATCACCACCGTTCAGACTCACTCGCCATTTCAATTCACTTCGCTGTAGAAGCATTTTTAATGTGTTGTTATAATTCTGTGTTTTTCATTGTCACAGACAGCTATTTAGGTAATTTATTTGTCATATAACCACAAGGTTTCAAGAAGATAAATGTATAGTGGTGAGGAAAAGAAGAGGGGTGATATACAAACATGAGCAAGGCGTAAGAGTAAACGACTTGGCAATGCAATTCGATCGTACAATTTTTACGATATGTACTATTCTGAAGCAGAACTCGATAAAGGCTGTAACACCAGCTAAGGGCATTGAAATTACTTCAAAGCTTCGGAAATCTGTCCATGAAAAGATGGGGTATCTTTTCCTACTTACTGTGGTTGACAAAGAAGCAGCTCGTTGAAGACACTGTGACAGAGACTATAATTTGCGAAAAGGCATGAGCCATTTAGACAGATTTTCTGTAGCCCACGTACTTCAGCACAAAAGCAGTCGGAGTGGCTCGGGAATATCCGAAAAGACTGGCATTCATTCCGCTATCAGGCGTCATGAGGCAACAAGCTGTGACTGTAAGACAGTTAAGCACTTTGTAGAAACCATATCTGAATTCTTCGAAGTCAAAGGATACGTCCCGTAACAAGTGTTCAACTGTGAAGAGATAGAACTCTTTCGGAATAAGATGCCACGCAAAAGTTACATAATGCCAGAAGAAAAGATGTCAGGTCACAAGCCCATGAAAGATATGTTGCTTTGCGAATCGCGACTGCAAGGTCAAGCCGCTGTTAGTATACCATTCAGAAAACCCCAAAACTTTCAAGATGCAATAGAAGCTACAGGTTATGTGGAGGGCAAACCCAAGGGCATGGGTCACCAGAAAGGTTTTTGTAAAATGCATCAACTTAGTTTTGCCGTTAAGAAATACCTCGAGGTCAATGACTTATCTGTGCATGCCCTTCTCGTCCTCGACAATGCTGTTTGCCACCCACTTAACTTTCAGAACAACATCCTCAAGAAGTTCAACTTTACCAAGATTCTCTGCCTTCCACCCAACACTAAAGCTATCCTACAGCCTATACACCAACATATTATATCCAATGTAAGGAACTTTAAACCAAACTCGTGTTTCAACATTGCTTTGGCACTTACCCTTCAAAAGTTTTGAAAGAACGACTGTAACCATATTATAGTGCGCCAAAATTATTGATATTGTCTGGCAAGCTGTTACAAAAAAGACCTGACGTCTGCATGAAAAAAGCTGTGGCCTGATGCTGTGACTTAAATGGACTTCTAAAGATTTAGATCTGAACAGGAAGTGATGAAGGCGATTCTGTATCTTGTAATGTTAATAGGCCTGGAAGTGGATGAGAGAGATATCAAAGAGGTTGTATCAGCATAATCCGAAGAACTGAGGGTGGAGGAGTTGATGGAACTACACACGCAGCAACAAATGGAATTTCTAAAGGAGATGTCAAAGGAGCCAGAAGTGGAGGAGGCTATCACTTTGGTAACATAAAGGATATATTGGAAATGCGGGAAAACGTTTCGGACTTAGTAGAAAAGAAACACCTTGAAAAGGTAGCAACTGGCCGTTCAGCGACGCTATTTAATGACATTTGCCTAAATCATTTCAGAAAAATTCTAAAAGAGAGAAAAATACAAAGCTCTTCAATCAAGTCTCTATTAAAATACCCTTCGGATGAATGTGGCGAAAGCATGATCAGAATGAAAAGAATGGCTGAAGAAGAGAAAATAAAGTTAATCAGAAATAGGGGAAGCATTCATTCAAAAATATAAAAATAAAATAATTCCTCATTCCTTCTTTTGCTCACAAATCATTATGCGAATATGCCTCTGCGTTGTTATTTTCGACCACTATCTTTTGCACTATGATGTTTCAAAACTGCGACGTTGCCGCCCGCGATATTTTCTCCTGTAACCCATTTTCAGCATTCATAATTAATACCCTTTTCGCTAACCCACGTGCTTAGTAACAGTTTCACGCAAAACTTCAGCAAACACCAGTGAAAGATTGGAGATCCTGAAACATCTATTCGCCCGAATTTTCATATCAACAGGATGAATCAGTTCATTATTCACAGCATATGGCCAGCCGCTTTTCGCTTCATCATGCACATTTATTCTGCCTGAACTTCACAATCGAACCCATCTTTCTTTTCTCATAGTGCGCTATCTCATACAGAATCATGCATTATTTTAATGTATATTTATTTAGTCACTTATTTATAGTTTAATAAGGTTTCGTTTCCTAAAACGTATTGCATTTATTCAAGAAAATGTTGCTTTTTGGTTTTATTTTAGACATAAATATATAAATTATCTAAGTTTATTGCTAAAGAGATTGTATAAAAGCAATATAAAAAACGAATAGGAAACAAACAGTATAACAGGAACAATCAGTATAAAAAACGAACAGGAAAAAAAATTGAAAAGCAAAGTAAATTTCAAGCAAAGAAAGTAACTTAGGTTGGTATAAGTGTTAATAGCAATACTCTGTTAAGCCAGAGAATAAACAAAATCTTTTTGTTTTCAAATCATTTCTCTCTCACAAAAGATACCCAGAATTCTTTGCTAAAAAATACAAAAAAATCAGACTTCATTTAATTAAATTTTTAAATCCAAAAGGTTGTTTCAAAAATGCTACTGTTTTTAACACGGTAACTTTAAATAATAACAGAATTATTCAGGCAGTTTATCGGATTAGCAGCGTAAAAGTTTGTAGAATATTTAACAGTCTCTAATTAAATTATCAGTACACAATTTTGGATTTAGTAGAGGTAGACAAAACAAGTGCGTTGTGAATTCAAAATATTATGAAACATATGAGTGCCTATAATATAATCGACTTTCTTTGTCTTTCCATTTTGTAGAGAGCTGGGACCGTGGTGATTAGTGACTTAATTTTTGAAACCGGAGGTTGCGATTCATTCATGATTGAAGACAATAATGATCGAAGTAAGTTACATCTTTTGAATCAATAGAACGAATTATAGAGGGTGTTTATACATTGTCAGAACGATTTCCTTAAAACATTCATCAAACGTAAATGTTTTAGAATAACAATTCTAGCAAACGCTTATTATTTAAAATGAGAAATATTGTACACTGCATTTAAATTTACTCTTCTTTCGAGAAAGTCTCATGGGAAAAAGCTGTGAATTGAAGAATATATTTTTGCACTTTCCGAAGGGAAATATTTCATTATTCAAAAACGTTGTGCAATGCACTGTATTAAAATTTCTAAGAATAAAATAAGCAACATTATTCATCGGAAAGGAAAAGAAGCAAACATTTATTACTTTTACATTTAAAGGAGACTCCAAAAAACACTCGAGAGAGGTACACACCGAAAAGCACAAAATATCGGACAGTTATTATATCCTCCACTCTACTGGGCCGATTGATGAAATTTAAATTGCGTTTTCCATGTCTCGAAAGAGCGACTTAGGATGTATTATATTAGACTTTAGATTTATATATAGCACTGTTATAGCACAGGTATTTTCACACAAAATCCGACTTTTCCTGAAATGACATACAGATGTTTTTTCGATATTTCGATTCTATAACTCAAATTATGTTAAAGTGTCAGGTTTTTGTAAAAATTGCACGTCTAGGTTTCCAAAAATTAAGCTCCTCAATGTTAACAGAATTTAGTACATATTTATTAACACCTCTTTTTTATTTAACTTACTCTATTCTTTCTTTCACTGCTCGAAATTTAGGTTCAATCCAAATAAAATTCGCAGATTTTTCTGATTTCTTTTTAAAATTTCGATTTTTTAGTAATTTTTATAAATTTTTGAAAAACGGTTTGAATTATAACGTATCAAATTTATACCATCATCTTAAAGTTGTAGAGACATTAAGCATTTTTGGAAGCAGGCAAGATGCAAAATTAGCAACGCCTTCGCCGGAAATTGAACCGCGAATCTCTGGAATACGCGCCCAGCGTGCAGACCACCATACCACGAAGACATGCCAAGAAGGCTGGAGAAATACCTTATAATATATTTCTAGGCATACCTGCAAACGATTAGAGTTTTCATTTCAAAATTTCCCAAAATATACGTGAATTTATATATTGGTGAGTTCTGAAATTTGGTATGATTGTTATAAGCGATAGGTAACGCCAAACATGGTTTACGCAGTTTGTTAAAATAATTTGAAAGAATGAATGATGCACACTGTTTTACGTCGTGCGCAGTGAAAGGAAAAGGAAAATAGATTACCAAAAATCAAGAATTTCACCAAGTGAATTATTCTTGGCCCAATCTTAAAACGTGCGCCAAGATAAATTTTTACGTTTCTCTAAATTTCTCAGCAATTTTACAAAATGTAATATTTAGGCATAATTTTAGTCTTCGGATCGAAATATGAAAAATATACCTGTATGGGAAATCGGATTTTGTGTCAAAATTTCTATGTCAAATCGGCCCAGTGGAACGGGAGATATACAACTGTCCCATTTTTTAGGCAGAGTTTAAATATATTTACAAAAATAATTCCATTTCCTTATTCTAATCACTTTTAAAGAGTGAAAGTACATCAAGACTAAGCAACAAGTCATGCTTCAAAAAGTACTAGAGTATGCTTTGAACAAATGAAGCCTGATAGATATTGCATACATACTTTTTAACGTATTTCTGCGAAGTCCCTTAATGTTTCACCTACGGATTATTGTGTCTTTGGTCTTTTGAAGAAATCTCTAAGCTCAAACACAGTATGATTGATTGATTTTGGAAAGTAGTGTAAATTGAATTGAAATCAGTGCTGCTGGAAATTTTACGAAAAAGCTCTGCATCAGGATATCAGGATACCGACTTTCAATCGAGGAAAGGACTATCAGATTAAACATTTAAAATAATGCCCTTTACATTTTAAACATTAATTAAAGGCCTTAAAATCGATTTAAAAATGTGTAAACACTCTCTCTCTCTGTACAACATTTCTTTTATTATTTTTAGATGGATTTGTGCTCCATCAGTAATTATAGGAACACCAAGCCTACATCCAAGAATAAGCAAGGCTTTATTAGTTCCAATTCAAGATATGTTTTGTATATGAAATCAATTTAGACAATTCATTTTAAGAAATTCTCTTTTCGTTTCTTAATTTTAATAGAAAACCGTCGATTTCCATGGGGCAAAAGGAAGCAAGTTTCTGTTGAGGTAGTTACGACCAAACCTCCTGAATTAGCTCTTGAACCAACAGACGAAATACGAAGTCTTTTCCCAGAAACGTGGTTGTGGGAGATGCATTTAATTGAGTATTTTTATTTTGTTTCCTTATAACAATAATAATGTTAAAATTTATGGCATATTTTATGATATCATGATAAGTATTTACCTTTCCTCATGAATTCTATCGAAAGAACAGGTTACGATTTGGTTTAGAACAGGTTACGTCAAAATGGACGAGAAAGCTTCATGTGCGACAACAATGTTTGACCACTATTTTCGGGAAAAAAAGAAAAAAATGACATTTTGAACAGCGCAAATGACGTAAATTCACCTTTTCGAGTTTTTCATTGCTAATAATTTGAGTGTACTCTTAGAATAACCTAAAAGTAATTTAGTCCTAATTTATAACAGAAATGAGTACCCACCTGTATAGAAAATAAATATCAGTTGTCTTTTTATAAAATCATTATGTCACAGATTGTAAGGAGGAAAGGCGTAATTTACTAATAAACTAAAAGCGCTAAAATTTCGAACAATACTAATAAACAGACAGGAAGTACTGAAGTTTCATCATTTGTTTTTGTTGGCGAAATTTGTCAGAATTTAAAGAATGTGTCAACACTGGATTTGACTTTTTATTCTGACTTTATCCAGAAGTACTAACATATACAATATAATCTGAATGATATTTCAGGTATTGCCTGGCATTTGAACTTAACAGACAAGAATTTACGCAAGAGGCTATTAAATTTCAAAATATTTTTTGAAACTGTAGGAGAATCTTTGAGTAAAAGAAAACTTACAGTATTGGAAAAGAAAGATTACAAGTTGTCGTTATAGTCTCATGAATCGAAAAGACTGACGCAATAGAATCAGATAACAAATTTGTAAATAAAATCGCACATATTTCCTCTAATATATGTAAACGAAAAATGAGCTAGCTAACTGGTATATCTTGAATATACAAGATTTAAGTTTATATTCTGTAGTGAATGACAGACACACGTGTTTTTAATGTGCACGAATTAAACAAAAAAGTATGCACACGATTCATATGCATAAGAAAGCACTATTAGAATAAAGGAAAAGTAGACAAAAGGAAATGCATTCAAAATACACGAAAGAGCCCTTTTGTCAACATCGTTCCGTACTGTCAAGCTGTTGTTCACTTAATTAACTAAATGCCATTATTTACTGAGTAATTTATTTCGAATGTTCTACATGTAATCGATGAAAAACGATATACTACAAAGCACATACCATGTTAACAAAACTGAAAAGAGATATTGATTGGAGTCATTGCATGTTCACGCATGTAAAGAATTGATTTCTCGCACGAGAAGTCTTGGCAAAGACTAAGTGAATTTTTAGGAATTAAATATTATTTTGCAAATGAAAGTCTTTTCCAGAAAGCTTTGACCGGGTAGCTGATTAAAATTTCTTGCCTTGTAATCAGTGATAAAAAAATCGGAGCTTTGGAATCCAGTTAGGTGAAGATCACGTACACCAATACGTACACTCTGCACAGAAAAAGGGGTTCTGTATTTTCCGTTCTGCTTAGCCGATTGAAGAAATATAATTTGTGTTTTTATGCCTCGAAAGAGCGACTTGGGATATATGTTAGTTTATCTATAGCATTTCCTAACATGGATATTTTAACACAAAATCAGATTTCCGAGAAATCCCACACCAAGTTTGTTCCATATTTCGATTCAACGACTCAGATTATGCCTAACTATTAAATTTTGTAAAATTTGATGAGAAACTTACAGATAAATTCTTAATTTATGGTAACCTATTTTCCTTTCCCTTTCATTGCGCACGGGCGGGAAAAAAGCGGCAGCATTCTTTCTTTCAAATATTTTTTAACAAAGTGTGTAAATCACATTTGGCGTTATTATCGCTTATAACAAATATGCCAAATTTCAAAGCGTGCCAATTTATAAATTCACGTATATCTTTGGAAATTTTGAATAAAAAGCTTTAGTTTTTTACATGTGTGCCTAGAAATATATCTACCTTAAGATGATGGTAAAATTTGGTAGGTTATAATTCAAATATTTTTCGAAAACGTTATAAAAATTACTAAAAAATAAAAATTTTAAAAACAAATGAAAATATATCTGCGAATTTTACTTGGATTGAACTTTAATTTTGAACACTGACAGAAGGAATCCAGTAAGTCTAATTTAAAAAGTTGTAGAGACATTAGGTTATTTTGAGTTGGAGAGATGAAAAATGAGCAACGCCTTCGCCGGGAATCGAATCACGGCCCTCTGGAATACGCGCCCAGCGTGCAGACCACCACACCACGAAGGCAAGCTAGGAAGGAGGAAGAAATACCTTATAAAGTGATATTAGTAAATGTATGCAAAATTCAATTTGCACTGAGGAGTTAAAATTTTGAGAGCCCATTTTTAAAAACTATTCCTGCAATATTTACAAAACTTGGCTGTTTGGCAAATATTGAGTCATAAAATCGAAATATGAAAAAAAAAAAAAAAAAAAAAGGTTTGTATGCAATTCCAAGAGAATGCCCTCTCTTGTTTCAAAATACGTATGTTTAAACAAAAGTCACATTTGAATCTAATATACAATCTTACTCATGCTTTCGAGATTAAATTTTGTCTAACGTACCTATTAAACGGAGATATAGAACTGTTCCTTCTTTTTTCTGCAGAGCGTATGTGTTATACAGCTTTGTGAGGTATGAGAGAGCAATACAGTAAAGCAAATAACATGATTAATGCCGTGTAGAAAATTCTTATAAATCCCTCACCCCCCATGTCGTAATGTTTTAAGAAGTCCAAAGGGCCGCCAACTGAATTCCTCTTAAGGAAGGTTATATGGATAAGGTACGTAGTTTTCTTACATGAAATCATTATTAAAACCAATGTGTGCTAGATTCAATGAAAGCAGCAACTATTAAACATGACTGTTACTAATATCCAATGATAAAGTTATGCTTTGGAAGATTTTGGAACGCATGGCGACAAATACTTGTCTGATGTGATCCTGAGTTTCGAAGAATGTATAGAAGCAGCTGTGAAAGTAGAATCAATATTAGACAAGTTTAATGGATTTGCACACACGAATTTGAATTAAGTTTGAGTTTCTTCAAGTATTTCAAGTTCTTCCTTCAAGTATTTTTCAAGTACTTCGAATATTTTATATATAAGTAGTTTATCCTTTCCGTATCTCAATATCTTTTTCTACACTTTTTACACTTTCTGTTAATATTGCGCGGAGATCGTTTAAATACAAGAATCCCTTGAGCTTATATCGCCAGAAACATATTTTCCGAAAAATAGAAATGTCAAACATTACCTATTGCAATAAGGGTTTTTAAATTCATTAAATGCTACTTTTGTATTCCCCATTAAATATCATATTTATATTCTTAAGATGATTACATATGTTATTTACTGATGTAATTATTATTTATTTAAGAATGAGCAACTAATATACCTATCTTAAACTGATTAAAGACATTTTATTAGTATCTGTTCAGTGCCTTTCTAGATAAATATTCATCACTTTATTTTCTGTTAGTTTAGAATACTTTCTCACCTTAAGATGCTTTTCCTACCTGTAAGTATTTATATCATTACATGTTTCCCATATAAGTGGTTGAATATTTCAGTTCTGACCATTCCTTTATTTAAGAAAGATTTAATTTACTAACATTTCTTTTTTTCATATACGTTATGTTAAATGCAACATGTTAGCTTTCGTAATATTGCCTTTCCTCATGTGTATCTTATTATGCTATAAAACAGAAAAAATATTAAAATGCATTTGAGAAGTATTATACCTTCGTATATATGTAGGAAATTCGCAAGAATTATGCTCTGAATATTATAATTTATTATTTTATTTACATATTTCATTGTTAACGGAATATTAAATTATTTATACACTTAATTAATCAACGAGTAAAATTGTGTTATGACTTAAAATAGATCACATCCGTCATAGTTTTGAATGAAGAAACACCGAGAACATCTTGAGACAAATTTCAGGTCGACAGTGTTTTGAATGTACTCCAAATCGACATTTCACGTTTTTGAACATCCATGCCTTCTGCAACGTTCAAACCAGGAATCAAGGCTTGGTAGCTATCAAGCTAACAGCGAAAATGATACTGAAATATCGAATCACTTTTCTATCTTAGTAGGAAATATGCATCGAAAAATTAATGCTCAAATATTTAATTTGCATTCATATGTATTATCTGTAAGTTAAATTCCTAGATGCATCAAAATTAAATTCATTAACTGTTTCATTTAGACCTTCAGGCATCTCTAATTAAATGCATAAGTTACGAAGGATAGAATAAAAAACAATTAGTATGAAAGCAATATTCAAAAAATATTTCTAAAATGGTCATCCTACCCGAGGAAGGTTGTGTAGGGTATAGTAAAATGCGCATACATTAATTGGAAGTGGTAATATTAAAGCCGAGTAGAGAAAAGGGCAATCAAATTGATAAACATATATGAACTAGAAAAACAAATAAAAATATGAATTAAAACTACAAATCGTACTTTGTTGAAAGTTTCAGACGGAACTTTTAGATGGACTAGTATTTAAAACACTAAAACTGGACGATTAATTAGGGCCGATCGCCCGTTTCGTTCTCCTTGTCATTATGCGACTTAAAAGCTGTTAATTAATTGTTCACGAGTTCTAAATAATATTTCTAATAGTTTCATATTCTCAAACAGCTACCCCGATATATTGTTCTTCACCTTCAATTACAAGCAAACATAAACGTAAACTTAAAAATCAAACCAAAAAAAAATTAATTAAAAAATTGATTAAATTTTGCAAAAAACATGTTTAACAAAAATATTGCTTTTATAATATAAATATGTATGGAAGATAAAATATATGAAAACAAACTTCTCATTTTAATTGGCTATAACCTCTTTTATTTTTTATTTAATTCGAGGACTTCCTTTCTCTGTCTTAGAAAAAGCGCTATAAGTTTAAACTACCTTATTCAAATTAAGCATGCAATCTCACGTAACGCTTAACTCTTGTTCAATCGAAATAATTGTAAACCAAAACTTTTTGACTCCCTCTCTTCTTGCTCTCTATTACTACTGCGACACTCTCTCCCTTTTTGCTTACACTTTCACCATTCTGCAATCATCTATGTTCACTTCTATCGCAATAGTATCAAAATTGTTCTGGAAATAGGTCTGACTGGAGTGTCAAATGAATTGTAACCACAAATCAGAATTTAAGTAAAAGGAAAAAGAATTTAATCTGGCTCGACTCGTTCCTCTTCAATATGGATCAATCCCTTAAGCAGCAAGTATCTATGCCATCAATATTTCTTGCGCATCTATATCTCAGTGTTCTTACATCAGTGCTTCCAAAATTGTGCTATCATTATATATATATATATAATTAGTAAATTTTTTTTAAAAAAACATAATATAATTATGCCTAGTATTTTCACGCATTTAGCTGCTAAAAATTATCAGTAAAGACATAAAGTAAGAAACTTAGAACCAATTTTTCACAAAGACGAAAAATCGAAATTCATAAGTAGTAAATTTCGAATAAACCTACGAATGCACAGAAGAATTTAAAAAATGTTAAAACCAAAACTCTTCAAACAATCAATACCCGAATTAAAAAAAGAACAAAATAGAAGAGGAATTCAATCAACTTCAATGCCACTTCGTCAGGAGGAGGAACATTTGAATCAATTGAAATCTCTCTTACACAAAAATCCTTGCTTTTCTTTATCCAGAATTAACTGATGAGCCATTTCAATGCATTTTAATTATAATAGTTCACCCGAAACTTCTGGCCCCCCAAAGCAAGGAAAGAACAAGGTAAATTCTAATTAAAATTATATATATATATATATATATACATATATATAGTGTAAAATTGTACGTATATATATATATATAGCATAAGTTAAGCAACTCAGTGTCCATTAATTAGAAGTGTGATTTAATCCTGAATCCATAATAATATATTTTTTCCTAATTTGATTTCTTACTATACATGAAGCGTAATAATAATGTTGTTTGCAGGTCGACGGGTCAGAAGACCTTAAAGCGGCAGTTACCTCACACATTAACGGAGTGGGTAGGAGAAGCAGTATGCATCAACTCGAAGTCTGGACTGGGAATTTCAGAAAAAAGCAGTATTACTGCTTTTCAACCATTTTTCCTTTCTTTACAGCTGCCTTATTCTGTAATACGAGGAGAAAGTGTGCCGATCAAAGTCTCTGTGTTTAATTACTTGAAAGAATGTCTGCCGGTATAAGCACAATTTTGGGGAAAATTATATTAGAATAAGTTTTGACATAATGTCTGTCTATCATGGTAACTGCAAGGAATTAATGTTAGCAGTTAGTTAATGTTATATATAATTCATTAATGCGAAAATATTTTTCATTTGCTTTTTAAATCCTACTTTGATATGTTTTAATGTGCAGGGTCGTTTTCTGTTGTTCCACATAAACTAAATTACAGATGCTACACTGAACCTGTCGAATTCTCGCACAGACGTGAATAACTACCACACAGAAATAGGGTGAAAATAGCCCTTTATTAGCTCAAAATAGTTAACAGAAAGGCACAGTCTTTGTATGTTACAAAAGCATTGTCAAACTTGCAGTGAAACTAAAAAAAATTCCGGTCAAAACTAAAATGAGTAGTGCTACAGAGCACTTAAGTTACGCCTAACAGGTGGACTCACAAAAACCTAACTGGCGTGATGATAATTCCGATATGTCCAAGAGGCTTACTAGGGTAACAGCGAAACAACAACGTGGGCTGGCTAGCTAACTCTTAAACGGGTGAATCTCTGAGTCTAATTTTCTGAGTTTTTTCTTCACTTAACTCTAAATTTACATCCTGGAGAGAGAATGTGAGGGGAAGTTGAAAAGTTCAGATAAAGTTATCAACTTAAAATAAACTTTTTATGCAAAATAAGGAAAACCCTACAAATGTAAATATGCAGTTCATAAAAGAAATGCTCGGAATTAATGAAGTGAAAAGGAAAATCCCTAACATTATTCACATAATGATTATTATCATGTAAAATAATAATTCTGTATTTTTTAAGGCTTCGAAGAATTGCTCTTCTGTTATTACTCATCTCGTTTCTCCACAAATAATAAAAGATTGTGCGAGTTATGTTTCGTCTTCAGAATTACAGAGGTATTTATTGCAGGAATAAAAATATTAAAATCTGCCTTAGAAATCTTTTTGATACTCCGAAACTTTCAAAGTAATTCTGGCAGAAGCTACAGAATTAATTCTCCAGAAAGAAACATTTATTTGATTTACATCTCTCCAGCAAATAAATGTACTACATGAGAGAAACCAACTTCATTATGCAGAAACGTTTCGATTCAAAATCATCACCGTAAATTTAGTTTAAATATTAACAGTAATATGAGTAATCTAAATATTAAAACATTCTTCTGGTATACACTAAGCATTATGCGAAAATAATATGTCAGGAAACTGAAACTCTGATAACAAAATTCATCATATTAGATGGAATTCGGACATAAGATAGCCAAGGAATACTTTTCTTGTTCAATCTGTGCATTAATAACATGTATTAAAGTATAATTAGAGTATGATTAAACATAACTTTCTAATTGCGAATACCTCCAGCGCTAAACTTGCTTCAATATGCTTTGATCTCGAGAAGCTCTACATTTCTAAGCAACTGCAATAATGATATATGACAATAATATACACCAATAATAATATACAGCAAAAGCAACAAAATTAACAGCAAAAATTTAAAACACATTGCAAGGTAAAATACGTTTACTCCTTGAAATGAATTACCATCAAGCTTCACAAGCTTCAAGCAATTTGGGAAAATCTCTTAACGCTGATGTAACTGGATCATTAAAAGTAAGCTTCAACATCGATCCCCCCCAAAAAAAGAGAACAGATTCAGTTCACAGCAGGTTAACGCCAATATACATGCTCTAGAGCAGTAAACTATCAACAGCACTATGTGTGCACGTAAATGCGGAAGCATTCGTGCATTTTTAGCTCCACAGTTGCCTCTTTCATCTGATTTGATTCTTTTGTTTCCGCGTTCTTATGATTTATCCGACTTATATGAATAATAATGATATCTTTAGACTGGTACATAACATACGTTGTATCTGCATAGTACAATTTCTATTATACACATTCTGTAGTTGAAAGTACAGTTGCCGTTCGTGGTACATAAACAAGAACACTACATTTGAAAAGTGTACCCATTAAGTAGAGAATAAAATATATGTTTTGCTTTTATAGTTTTTTATGTATTAAAGGCATATAAATATATAAGTTAGAATATCATACAGTGCAAGCACATCATACCGTGCAAGGGCATCAAACCATGCAAGGGCATCATACAGTGCATCGTACAGCACATAACATCAGTGATCCTCACTGATACGACCTACAAAGCTCACTGATACGACCTACAAATAAAACACGAAAAAGGGTATGAAAGAATGAGACATAGAATTTTAAAATGACGATTAATATATGATTTTAATATGTATGAAGGATTATTTAGAGTAAATGGATACAAGTGTGGAGTATGATTAAATTTTGTATGCGGATATTTACATGTTTCTATGGGTTAGTAAGATCTTGATAGATTGTAAACGGACCAAGCAGCTTTTAAGCCTTGAAGCTCACTGTCATAATATAGGGAATTCATTCTTACACCGAAATTTGAAGCTTGCACACTTTTCCTTCACATAATGCTCAATATATTATTGTGATGTTTCTCACATTTAAAAATATAATATTAGAAAAGGATTGTTTAAGCACACTTTGTGTTAACATAACCGGTATTGTGATTTACCAAATGAAAAATACTTCTATATTCAGTTATAAATAGAAATATAAAAATAATAAATGCAGTATGTCTTTCATTTACGAGAATAATTGAAACCTGGCTTAGACTGTGTATGTAGCTTTGAAAGTAAAATATTTTTGATACATTAACTGAAATAAATCAAAAGTGATCCCGAAGAAAATTTACAATAGAAAGCAAATTATGCACCTTAATAGTCAAAATGTAAAGAATTTAAATTTGTTATAGGTAGTGCATCAGGTAAATTGTTAATGATGTTATTGAATTGATTGAATCTGTTTTTTTTAGATCAAGATATCCTTGGGGTCAAGCAAGGATTACTATCTAGTTTCTGAAACTCCAACCTTCAGTCTGTGTGCATGTAGTGGCGATAGTGAATCTCGTAGCTTCATGGTGCAGCCTGTAAGTTTGGGTCAAGTGAATATAACAGTATACGGATCTTCATTTGAAGCTGATAATACCTTTTGCTTCAATAAAATGGTTTCAACGCTTAGTGCCAAAGATGCCGTCACGAAACAGCTTCTTGTTGAGGTATGACAATTCGTATTCAAGCATTTCTCTGTTAGTATATAGGAAATGAATTATTTAATTTAATTTCAATTATATTTTACCTTTCTTTCGTAACCGATATATAAAGTTTGGTAGTTTAATCAAAGAGATATTTTCCTTGGGGAAACAAATACAAATCACTGATGAATATTGAAAGTGCTATACATAATTTATACAATTTATGTTTTCATTACTATATGCATTACTAATTTAATTAGTTTCAAGTATATAGGGTAAGGATACCCATATTGAATGGTCTCATTAGTTGAACCGCATCTCTTTAATGACCCTGCGAAATAGCAAGTGCCATCTGTTAAAGTGTTCTTGAAAGAGCACGCCGAACTAACATTATTTAACCAGTGCCCGCTCAAAAAGCATTCTAGTTACTTGTGTTGTCGTTGCAAAAGTTTTACACTAGTTTGAATTGTGATATATTTTGGTTTTCCTTAAGCAAATTCAAACCAGAAGGATAATGTAAAACTAGAAATAGGTACTTTATAAAATAAGAAGTTTATTATATTTTAAGATACCATTAAGTATGTTTTATTTTTTGATGTTTTCCGGATTTTAGGTTATGATTTCCAACTAGAGTGATTTACCTAAATTGAACTCTTGAGGGTATCCTAAATTGAACTCAGGTTCAATTTGGGAAACCGTGATTTAATTGGTTATTTTATTTGAAACATTTATTTGGATCATTTATTATTTTTACTCACGAACTTGGTCAAAACATAGTGGTTGCTCAACACCCATAAAGAACGCAGAAATAGGTCTGGACAGGCCTTCAACCAGCTCAATCAATTTTTTTCTCCATTAGTTTGGAAGAAATTTTATCATTGCCACCCCTGATATGTCATTCAACCAATAAGAAAGCGAAAGGAATTCAAAAGGCCGTTGAAATTATTAGCAGTCCATACAAAGAAGCCATTGAAGCACGTTTAGACAAACACAATCTGAAAAAAAAAAGATTGTGCAAATAAAAGATTTAGCATCCACCTCTAGAGAATCCACAAAGCAGAAGAAAATAGAACTAATGTGGTTTTGCAAAGAAGCGAACGGCAGAATCTAGATATGATACAGTGCAAACATGGTACCACTATGATGTGTGGTGCTGGAGCAAAAAGAATAAATTCATTTCGCAGCTGCATCGAATAGATTACATGTTTTATATGCCCATTATTACTTATTTTATGATTTTTCCATTTTTTTTTTGTGTTTGTTACTTGAGTAGCATGCTTTGTATTTATAATCCTACTGTAAGGTATTAGAACATTATTATCATGTGTTTTTAGTCATTTGGATTGTTTACAATTGAACATTTGCAACAAAAAGTGTTTTTGCTCCTAATTTTGTTTATATTTCATGTAGCACAGCATATAATTAGTATTATGTTCCTAAATGCCTAATAAATCTTATGGGAATAACACAAAGAGTTAATTTAATTTCAGGAAAAGTTATAGTCTTTTTTGCAAATTTTTGTTTGGAAGAAATTTTATCATTGCCAGCCCTGATATGTCATTCAAACCAATAAGAAAGCGAAAGGAATTCCAGGCCGTTGAAATATTAGCATTCCATACAAAGAGCCATTGAGCCGTTTAGACAACATCTGAAAAAAAAAGATTGTGCAAATAAAGATTTAGCATCCACCTCTAGAGATCCACAAAGCACATAAAATAGAAATAATGTGGGTTTTGCAAAGAATCGAACGCAGAATCTAAAGATATAACATGCAAAACATGGTACCACTATAAGGTGGGGTGCTGGAGCAAAAAAGAATAAATTCATTTGCGCAGCCTGCATCGAATAGATTTAACATGTTTTTGACTGCCCATTATTACTTTAATTTTATGATTTTCCATTTTTTTTTGTGTTTGTTACTTGAGTAGCATGCTTTGCATTTAATCCTACTGTAAGGTATTAGAACATTATTATCATGTTGTTTTATAGTTCAGTTTTGGAAAATTGTTTACTAAATTGGAATATTTGCAACAAAAAGTGTTTTTGCTCCTAATTTTGTTTATGTTTCGTGCACAGCATAATTAGTATTATTTCCTAATGCCTATAAATCTTTGGAATACACAAAGAGTTAATTTAATTTCAGGAAAAGTTATAGTCTTTTTTGCAAATTTTTGTTTGGAAGAAATTTTATCATTGCCAGCCCTGATATGTCATTCAACCAATAAGAAAGCGAAAGGAATTCAAAAGGCCGTTGAAATTATTAGCAGTCCATACAAAGAAGCCATTGAAGCACGTTTAGACAAACACAATCTGAAAAAAAAAAGATTGTGCAAGTAAAAGATTTAGCATCCACCTCTAGAGAATCCACAAAGCAGAAGAAAATAGAAACTAATGTAGGGTTTTGCAAAGAATGCGAAACGGCAGAATCTAAAGATATGATACAGTGCAAAACATGGTACCACTATGAATGTGTGGGTGCTGGAGCAAAAAGGAATAAATTCATTTGCGCAGCCTGCATCGAATAGATTTAACATGTTTTTGACTGCCCATTATTACTTTAATTTTATGATTTTCCATTTTTTTTTGTGTTTGTTACTTGAGTACCATGCTTTGCATTTATAATCCTACTGTAAGGTATTAGAACATTATTATCATGTTGTTTTATAGTTCAGTTTTGGAAAATTGTTTACTAAATTGGAATATTTGCAACAAAAAGTGTTTTTGCTCCTAATTTTGTTTATGTTTCATGTAGCACAGCATATAATTAGTATTATGTTCCTAAATGCCTAATAAATCTTATGGGAATAACACAAAGAGTTAATTTAATTTCAGGAAAAGTTATAGTCTTTTTTGCAAATTTTTGTTTCATATGAGCAACCTTAAGCTATACAGTAGGAAATAATATAAAAATAAGTAAAGCTTTTATTGCTTGGAATATGAATATTATCAATGAGACCGGGAAACCTGCTTCGGAATATACTTATGCTTAAACACATTACTGAAGCATTACAGGTCAAAATACAAAAAATATAAAAAATAATCATTAAAAGCAAGAAACATTTTTGGGTTCTATTGTCATATTTAATTTGATGTCAAGCACAATAACTATTAAAAAGAATTCAGAAAATTCTGTAACACATTATTAACGTAAAATTATTTAATGCAGAAGAACTAATTTAAAACTGCAACACTGTGCCTGTGAGAAATTGTAGAAAGATATGTATATACTGAATATTCGCTGTTACTTAATTTGCATATATAAATTAATCATTTTCACTCTTAGAATAGATCTGTGATTTTAAAGGGCAGAAAATGTTAAGGTCAAACAAATATTCATTAGAAACATATTTCAATAACGATTTCACGAGACTTAACTGAAATGTTAATAAATATAGCGCTGTTTTATATTGTTAATTTAAGTATTAACTTTTGAGGACAAACATTAAAATACCTGTAGTTTTAGACATTACCCATATTTAACTCAATTAGAAATGCTAAGCCTGTTAAAAAAATTTTTTTAGGATTTCTGCAAATGTTAAAAAAGAAAAAAAAAAAAAAAAAAAAAGGAGATTTTGCTTCCAAGAAGGGAAGAATGATAAGCATAAATTTTGATAACATGCTGATCCTATTTTCTGTTATTTTTTAATTAAAATAAGCTTCCATCTTTTCAATAAATGAGACCTTATATAAGATATTTTCAGAAACAGAAAAAATTAATATAGTAATTCTACAAAATTAGACCAATAATATTTTCCTCGCATCCAGGAGAAAGCCTTTAAATGTTATATATGGCATATTAAAAATATATCTATGTCGTGAATATTTACAAAACGTATAGAGATTTTATTTTCTTGAGTTGAGAAATTACAATTATTATTATAAATTACGTTGCATTCATTCTAAGTCTTCTTTTATTCCTATTACACTGTGATATGCTACTTAATCATTGAGCAAAGAATAAGCAAAGTCTCTGCTTAAATGCTTAAGCATCTGCTTCATGTAACACAAAAGCAACTCTTTTAGCTTACAACTGGTATTCATAAAAATTCTTTCTCATGCTGTGTAGTGAAACATGATATCGTTCGAAAGTTTGTTTCAGTTGGTAATATCTTATGTCTTCTTAATGGAACAAATTAATATGAGCTTTCAAAAGTAACATCTCTGTTTTTTTACAAACATTCTAATTTAACGTCTTAAACTAACTGGGACTAATTCTCGGTCTCAATCACAACACATTTTCTATCCTCCAAGAGCCAACATTTCTTTCCTGGTTTCTTATAAACCATAAAATAGTACTGAACCTACTAGAGCCATGCAATAAGTGAACTGATTGACATCATTAAAGCAAAAGGAATCAGGACCGTTGAACAGTATTCAAAAGAGGACTTTGTACACGCTTACGTAGGTGGTTCTTCTGATGAGACAATCTCTATGGAGGTTCTGGGATATTTTTGACTACCCCAGGCAACACTATTTATCAACACAAAATTGGAGCTGGAGCCATACTCTCAAACTTCACTTGCGAGTTTCTTGGAAAAGAGGAGACACTTGACATATATACATCCCTTCCCATTTCTGGGCACGCAATAGGACAAGTTGTTTTCTGTGACTCAAAGGCAGTTCTATAGGCAGTCCTACGTGGAAGCTGTCTTCTGTGACTCAAAGGCAGTTCTATAGGCAGTCCTAGGTGGAAGCTGTCTGGTAACCAACGGGATCCACTTACGCCTCAACGAGCTTCAAATGTTAGATAAGGTATGCATTTTTCAATTGTTGCCAGAGCATATCAAAAGCACAGGTAACAAGAACGCAGATAAACTGGCAAAAAGAGGCTCGAAATCTCAACAATAATAATGCAAATTTCATCCTCTCTGACGGAAATACCATGGCCAAATACAGATTAAAGGAACATTAAATTCTAATAAAGCAACAGCTCCATAACATTAAATGGAGATCAATTTACATTTAAGCTTATTCAGGCTTAGGCCATCACACGGGATTTAAATTTGACAGAGAGAATAGAAAATTCTACAGAAACTGTGATAACTACTCGGACACAGAAGTGACAGCTACTCACTTTTTTGATTACGCGGCCATACTTGCTGAATTATTAAAAACTGAGATATTGCTTAATAGATCGAACCTCTACGATCATAATATTTTGCAGATTGCCAGAGCTATCGTCTTCGCCCATGGTACTATTTAGGCTTTATTGTAGACAAGGCAACAACAAACCAATTGGGAATTGCTCGCTCTCAGAGCTAACGAATGACCTACAGAAGCTGTCTGATGTTCTGCGAGCTATCGCTTCTGCTGTTGTTTACTTATGAACGCACAAATGAAAAAGTAAAATCTCACGCAAAACTTTAACAGACACAATTTGAGGTAACAGCACTGAAAATATAAACAATTAAATTACACGACTTTCTGTCGACCCTCAAAAACAGAGCCTCTCTGGTAAGCTAATCTTACACCGTGGTTACAACACAGAAAGCCTATTAACATTTGCAGTATCTTATAATTTGGACTGAAAGGAACTAAATCTATACCACGTTACGGAACTTGACTGGTTTCTGGCAGTCCTTAAAGGTCTACTCTGTGAACGGCTTCTTTCAAAGGACGATAATGCACACTAGACAATACCACTTCCTAGTTTCAATCTAACCAGCATATCGTAAAATTTCCATAAATCTTTGTTCTGAATAAGTAATGCGATGGGACAAAGCAGACGGAATAGGAATTTACATCAGTTAATGTAAAGATAACTAGTAAATGACTAGAGTCGCTAACATTTACAGTAGACTAGTACAGAGACTAGTAAATGATTAGTGCAATCTTAAGTTTTGTCTCCAGTAATAAAATTTTCTGGTAATATAAATTTCACGATAAACTGTTATGCATGATGTATTTTTATGTTTTAGCATATTAACTGTACGAATGGAAATTTTATTCCACATAACATTAAAAATATAAAAAAAAACATTATGTGGTAATTATAGGCAATTATTATTGATTGAAATAATGAGCTTCAAAGTTTACAAAAGTATCGATGATATAAATTATTATGATATAAATCACGGTATTTGTATATGAACTATAAATTACATTATCTGAGAAACTGCATATTCCATGAAGCATGGATAGCAAATTAAAGGCTTCATCATTAGTGTAATAACAGCATCTGCGAGACAGTTTTACTACAAACTGATTGCTAGAAAAATGTAAGTTAAATAACACAGACGAATATAAAGTAATAAGATGTGAAAAATAGAGAAAAAGTTATAAATATTTTCAAATTTCAAAATTTATCATCCCAAGTTACACGTATGCAATATTCTCTGTAACAGACATAACATGGTGGAAAAAGAAAATACATTCTTACTTTTGTTGTAACCATTGGAAGTATATAAAAATATCCCTGCATGTATTTCCATTTAACTCTTTCACATTGGTAGAGGCTAAAATCTGTATACGAATATTTGTTGGAATGGATTTCCTTCCCCCCATGCCAAGTAGAATGCTACAGGTTACGTGAAAGGACTACTTCTCTCTTAGGGATATATGTGCGGTTTCAACCATTATGTGCATTTTCCCCCTTAGAGCAGTATTGCAAGTACGAGCATCAATAAATAAACGTTGATGCTAAACGAAAGGGAAAGGAGGTGTATTCAAATAAGAGAGCTTCTTATAGTTGCACGTCTTTAAGAGCTCCTTAAACCAACTAGCTATGCATTAACGCGATGGGGGAAAGCACCAGGCAGAAAATGGATGCAGGCGTTCAGAAGCCTGTCGATGTCTGAATGCACCGGTGTTTCGGGTGACTGTGATGTAAAAGAGTTAAAGTATCATTGAAGAATCCATATTATTAAGTTTTATTTCTTTTCTTAAATACTCTCGTAATATAATGTCGAAAATGTAAGTAGGATTACTTCTGTTGGTAAATGATTGTAGCAAAAGTATGATTAAATTTCTAACCGATGATATTTCCTGTATTTTTGAAAAAATAAAATGTTTTCTGCAGATATTTATTTTCTACGAAAGTAATTTTTTTTGTATTATATATCCGCCTAGAAACATTTAGTGTCTACTCTAACCTTCGCAAAACATATTTTTTTCTCTTTTCCCTTAGGCAGATGGATTTCCAATGGAAGACGTATTCAATTACCCTATATGTTCTGGAGGTACGTTTATTATTAATTACTCTGTCATTTCTTTGGAACTTAATTCAAAAGAGCAGGATTAATAAAATCACTTTTTTTTTCAGAGTAGAAGTCTTGAATTGACCTACAAAACTAGTTTCACTTCAGAATAATTTTTAAAAAGTATTTTCTGTTGCTTTATGTATTTATTTTGTGGGTGAGAGTGCGCATGAAGCTATTTCTTCGATTTCAGGCGAATGAGCTGATTGAATAGCTGTTTTCGCAGTTTTTCCCATGTGTACAGATGCCGGTTTTATAGAGAAAGTCCTCCAGTCGTTTTCAATAAAAAATGTAAAAATGCAATTCACTGAAAAATTATAAAAATACTATCTCCCAATGAAATAAACACAGAGTACCTCAAAAATACCTCAAAACACCGGGGAAGGATTAACCACACAAGAAAGATTCAATCACCAGTTCAAATAAAATTAATAAACCGATCATATAGTCCAAATACAACATAAAATTAATTTCCCCACTGTGGAAATATCTGCTTCTGCTTCTTGTATAAAAACTTTTAAACCTCGGCCTACGAACCGCCTTTATATTCACTATTGTCCCAATTTAACTATAAATTAATATTAATCCAATCGAAAACTTATCTTGAACTCTTTCTAACCAGCGAAAAAAGAATGACGATAATTTATCTCAAAATTTTTAAGAAAAGTCTAACCTTTCTTTTAAAAGTGACATACCCGTTTTCGAGCAAAGCACCAAGGAATGTTTTAACCGTAATTTTGTCAAAGATGTGACACCAGTAGTGATAAACAAAACAGATAGTTTTCATTTAAGAAGAAAGCTGAGATTTTCTCGCTTCGAACGAGCAAAACACATGTTCAGTTTGTAAGTAAAGGGGGTGTAAGTAAAGCGCAGGTGTACTCCGAGCTATGACCCCAAAATGAGTTGCCTCGTGGGAACGAACAGCATCCTCTTTTTAGCTAAACAATTCTTTTCGCTAGCTTATTAGGAAAGTAGCGCATGCAATTAAAAAAATTAGTTTAAATAATAATATATTAAAAATTAATTCTCAAATATTAATATTATATAAATTCACTATTCACTGTAAATTAAAACATTCACTATGCTTTGTAAATTAAAACATTAACTATGCACTGTAAATTAATACACAACACAATGTTTTCTCCGCGATGGTTTCGGAGGAAATCCTTATTAGCATCAAATGTGCAATTAGTCACGAAACTCACTTTTTGTCCATATCGCCTGTATTCGATTCACTTTCATAATTGTTACCACCAAATATCACGGAATATTTAAAGAAATAAAATAACGAAGAATCTTTCATATTTGCATATATATTTCTCGCACTGTGGAAAAACTACGGCTCTTAAAATCACCCAATTTTAATATACATCCACTCGAACATGGTCACATGGAAATCCAAATTTTGGACTTCGAGTTTGCTTTTATTTATTTCATATTTTGTACAAATTTTTTAAAAAAACCTTTGTTCAATAAATCCAGCGATTTGAAAAAGGAGAACAGGCAACGTTGTTCGAAATAAAACATTTTTCTTTCCAGCATGCCAGACTTTTGCATTTGGGCAAAATGTAAGATATTTATCTTTCAATTTTAATTCACAAATTCAGCTATTTGAAAGCAATGCGTTGCCACTGCCCTATAAAGAATACTTATTATCTCCACGCATCAGCAGTTCAGTGTAAAATATTGAACTTTCAAGTTTAATCTCTCTCTTACTGAGTAGCATACCAAGTAACTGAAAAACAATAAAGGCATTTCTTAAAATAGTTTTTCTACGTTTTAATCTAACTGATTTAAACAAAAGTGCATTTGAATCATGACATGCCTGATTAAAAATATTAAATATTTTTATGATATGACACTGGGTGGGACTCATTCAACTCATTATATACTTTTTTTCTTTTCTATGATAACACTCTTAGGACTCTTAGGCTGCTCGAGATAGTAGTTTTCAAAGAAATAGTATAGAGAATATGAAAAAGTGTGTAGCAAGTCCCAACACTGTATCGGAAATTCCAAGACTATGCTGTTTTTAAATATTTTGTGATTTTGCATCTGAATTTTATGTGGTGTAAGTGCAACGAAAGTAATTAGAAAAAAAACTGTGTTAGCAATAGTGAGTACAAGAGCAGACTGGTAACCTGCAATTCTCTGTGAGAGCATAAAAAACGGTGCGACGTTAAAATTTGAATCTCTTCAGATTTTCTTTATTTATTTTTTAATTATTTGAGTTTGATTTGTTATCTCAAGTTAATCAATTTATATTGATACTGAAATAGTAAAATATATTTTATGTCTTTTAAACACAAAAGCCTTTTTTATATTCTAATAAATACATAGGTAAGTAATGAAAACTATGTTTGCAATTGATATTTTTATCCTTTAAATGTACCATGATGAATTTTATCATGGGATATGGTAAATGCTCTAAATAGTTTGTTTATGAGGGACATAAAAGGAATAGTTTAAAATATCATTTGCCATTTCGAATTAAACCATTAACTGAACTTATGTTCTCTATCGAGATTCACTGAAAAGAATGTTCTTGCTATTCAAATTTTAAATGATTTCAATAAAACTAAGAAGATAAACTAATATCTTAATAATTCCCTACATGTGAATAGTGTTAATTATTTCAAATAATTAATTCTATTCACATGTAGGGAATTATTAAGATCTTAAGGTATAAAAGTTTCAAAGATAGAATACATATGAGTAACAATATTTCATCTTCAAAACTATTATGATTGTCATCTCTTAATTTATTTTAAGTTATGTGTTACGTATTGAAAATTGTACATAATATCTTGCTAAGCGCAGATGTGAAAGTTTACTATGTATGAATTATTAAATGTATTTGTTAGATACTTGTAATATTTAACAAAATGTTTGTTGATTATTTATTAAATAACATTAAAACTTCATAATTGTAGAAAAATATGAAATCTCTGCATAAAAATTTACATTTATTTGCAGTTACGTATGGATCCTACTCTTCCGAAACAGCTCTTCTTCTTCCGGAAAATGCTGTTGATGGATCCGCCCGAGCGTATGTGTCTGTGTCAAGTGAGTAACACCTGGATACTTGAAATGATGTATTTTATTGACATTACTTTTAATTCAAATAAATTACTGTTGTTAAATACTTACTTGTATACAACTGAATAAATAATTATAAGAATTAGGAACTGCATATAATAGTTATTAAATAATAGATATTACTCCTAAATAGTCTAAGTACAAGCATTTCGGAACACACAGTTCAGTGGACACTATTAGATATGAGACTGCATAACAGGCATCCCACTCGTGTGCCTCTGTTGACCAAGAATCACTGTCAACCAATGTGCCTGCAGTGGACCCAGGAACATCAAGACTGGACCACGGATAAGTGGACCACGGATTTTTCATTCATCACGTCGATGGTCGTGTCAGAGTACGCTGTCTTCCAGGTGAACAGTTGCTCCTTTCTGGTACAGCAGGCTGGTGGTGGCAGTATTGTTCTCATGGGCAGCTTTGGGGTTTGTTCTCATGGGCAGCTTTGGGGCCCTTAGCTGTAGTAGAACAGACCATAAATGCTGGGGATAATCTAAACATAACTGTGGATAAGTAGCACCCTTACAAGGCGTCTGTCTTCCCAATTGGAAATTGAATTTTCAAGTAGGACACTGCCCCATGTCACAAGGCTCAAATTATGTTGAAGTGGTCCGAGGAGCATAAGGATGAATTCCAGTTAATGCCCAAACTTGCCAGATCTTAACCTGATAGAGCACGTTTGGGATGTTATGGAGCGGCAGCTTGGAGTTCAAGTGCTACCATGTTGGAATATCTCAACTTTGCATGAACGCATATTCTGAATATTAAATAATATAAATTGTGCAATCTCCGTCTAAAGAAAACTCAAGAAGTATTATATTCTTTCAACTGACTTAGAACTTCCGACATATTTTTTTATATTGTTGTTTATCACCCAAGGAAAGGGTGTAGCCTAAATTATTTAAATAGTTGATGAATGCGTATGCATTTGAAGTACAATAACGTCTTTGTATTATTCTCTAGCACTAGCACTGTCCTACCTATGTTTGAGTCCAACGTATTACAATAATAAATCGTAGTTAGATTTTAAAATAGAATTAAACAAATGGAAACAAATTTAAAAAAAGAACTAGCACTATTCAGATAACATTTATTTGGAACACATCATTAAGATAATTTCAGATGGTTTCAGTGCTAGAAAACATGAATTGAAAATTGTGAGGTAAGTGCGAAAGAAAATTAATTAAGAATTATTTATCATTTGCAATCCAAACCTGAAAAATATTGCTTAGAATTTTCCGTGTGCAATGAATGATGCTGATGTATTGTGAGGTTACTCAGACTTTCTTTTGCTTCTAACTAACCAGATTTTCTTAGCCAGATTTGTTGTAGAATTTGAGATTTTATATTGGAAATTTAATTTACTGCTGATAGAAATTTGCTTATGTTGTAAAACTTTCCGCTTGGCTTATGATTATGGCTAATTGAAAATAACAACAGTAAATATGCTAAATAAGCTTGAAAAAAATAAAAATATTTAATTACAATATCAGGTTCAATGTTCCGTCTTACTTTCTTCGGGAACATGCAAGGACCTGACTCGGAACAGAGAGCTTACTAAAGCTATGTTCAATAACTGTGGGAAGTAGACAGGATACACAAGAAGGGTATACAAAACCCTTTATTTTTCTCTATTTACAATAACTTCCGTACTTCGGAATACAAAGACCCACTACTTGTGGTCTAAACGTAAAAATATAAAAATAAACTAAACTCTAATTTGACTTTAAATAATTAAACGTGGAAGATTGGCCTTATATTAACAGGAAGTCGTATGTAGTACAGAGAACTGTGAACACTACAATACGTTTAAAAAAATTATCAAGAGGATTAAACCTCTGGCCTGGAAGGCAAACCAGCAACTGAGTAAAACTTCTAAGGTAAGCGGCCTGCTTCGACTAACTGCTTCCTCTCTTTCGCTTGGCAAAAAGCCACAACTTAAGTACTTGGCGTTCGCCAGACAAACTTTGCATAAATACGTTAACGCTTATAATTCTGGCCGGAAGTAGAAAATAAGAAGTGATAGTAAAGATTTAAAATAAAATAAACGTTAGTAAAACTTAAGATCCTTACATACTTCCCGCCAGAGTTAATTAATTTGAAACTGAGGTCTAAAACGACCTTGTTGAAAACTTTTAGTTCTAGAATCTAACGCGAGGCCAATCTTTTACAAACATTTTCGCTAGAAACTAGAAATTTAAAGAAAGAAATTTGTTTTTTACAATAGCAGCTCCCAGGACACGCAATTTTTTTCATCTGTACTGCATCTAAACAGGAGCTTTTATTGAAATCTGGTTCCTTCCAGAGATCTGGAAGGAAAACTAGTTTAATGAAATGTTACACAATGAAATGGCAAGTAACATGTATAATTATATTTCTCTTAACATTCTTATTTCATTCATGACTATTTTAATTATCTCTCCCCGTGCTCTCTGACATGTGTTGTAAAAGAACACCAAACACGAATGTGTCTATATCTATGTGTTCAACACTTCCTCCTACAATCAAAGCACTAACGTGTTAAAAATTCAACATACCAAGACCTCATAACACACCCTAACTTCAACTCTAAACCCTGAGGTACTATTCTGAAAGTGGCTAACTCTGATGTGTAGCGTCAGAGAGCCTAACTACATTCATTCAACCTTTAACACATATTCACCATGATTTACTCTTTTTTACAGTCACACGAATAAAAAAAAAAAAATTTAACATTACTTTCACTTTTACCATATCACGGTATTTCTTAACATTTGAAATAACAGTTCACATTGTATATAAAAACATATTAACATGCCGTTAATTTTACACATTTGAAAACATAACATTAGTAAGTACATTGTTAACTTCTATTCTTTTCAAAGCAAGTGCCAATTCTTTCTACATTGAAATACTACATTTCAAAAAGTCTTTCAGACTAAAACTTCTTTCTTGCCAGAAGTTTTAAATAAAATTTATACAATAACTTTTACAATCTTTAAGTCTTTACACATCGCTATTATACATCAACTTTAGTTTTACACGCGAGTAATTGAAAAACATAATACCAAAATCGGTAACAACTCATTTCTCGCCCTTTTCGCGATAAAGGTAGACCTCGCATGAGGTAAAACTTCTTGAAATCTGCCACTTGCAGTAAGAATGAAAGATTAACTTAAGTTTTGCAAAGTAACATCAAATTTTACTTATCTTTGTGATATTCGGACATTCTTTTTTGAGCCCAGTCCTGGAA